TTTCTGGACCCTTTCAAAGAGATTGGTCTCCCTCTTTCATGACTGACCCTTTGAGTAGTTGGGTAGCTCTGGATCTTTTCCAAGAAATAGCCCTCCATCTTTCCTGACTGACAGGTCCTCCTGTCCCTCGCTCCTGGCCATGTTGACTAAGACAGGAAGGAAATGGGAGGGTAAACCTAGAAGAATGCTTGTGTTGCCAGCTCTCCATTAGTCATCCTATCCTATGTGTTGGTTAATCCAAGGCACACAGCAACACGTGGTTATCCACCCATCCATTCTCTCTCTCTCTCTCTCTCTCTTCCATCTTCTTGTCATGACACAAGGCTTCCTAGTAGAAAGACTGTTTCCATTCATCCAGCCTCCAATGGAGACTCTCTACAGCAGTTGCCCTTCCGTTGTTTTGAGACAACAAAGTTGAGGGACAGAAAGAGCCAGCAGAGCAGGGGTTCCCAATCTGTAGGCCGTGGCCCACTACTAGTGGACCGTGAGGGGTTTGCAACCAGGCCGTGGAGACGGCCAGTGAGCGCATCCGTGTCTTCACTTGCAAGAGCAGTGCGCGAGAACGTCCGTGCGCGAAAATGTCCATGCGCTCCATTTAAGTGAGAGGCAGGCGCACGCATTCGCCCCGCCCGCGCAAATGGAGCCGTGCGCACACGCTTGCCGGACTCTTGCATGTAGCCATCCCCCTCTCCTCCCCCCACACCAGCCCGCAAAGCCGGAAACATTGAGGAACTCTGCAATAGAGGATCTTTGTTGTAACTCAGGTTCAAGAGTGGCGTACTTGGTGCTCTCTGAGCTTGGTGGTTTTTCTGCAGAAGTTTCATGACTCAACTAGGTGACATCATCAGTGCCAGAAGGGATTTAGGGAGTGGAGGAGGAGAAGAAAGGATGGAAGAGGAGGAGGAACGACTGTGGGATCCTTGATGCTCTCTGAGCTTGGCGGTTTTCTTGCAGACATTTCATGACCCACCATTCTCAGAGGCTGATGATATTATCTAGTATGCATATCTAGTGACCTAGATGTTACTGATGATGTAACCTAGTTGGGTCGTGAAACATCTGCCAGCAAGCTACCAAGGTCAGGGAGCACCAAGGACACCACAATCTTCCTCCTCCTCCCTGGAAATCTCACTGCTTTCTAGCACTGATAATGTAACTTAGTTGGGTCATGAAACATATGCAAAAACCCACCAAGTTCAGGGAACACTAAGGACCACCTCCTTCTCCTCCTCCTCCTCCTCCTCCTCTCCTTCTCCCCCATTCCAGAAACCCCATTCCCTTCTAGCACTGATAACGGAACTCAGTTGCATCATGAAACATCTGCAAGAAAACCACCAAGCTCAGAGAGCACCAAGGACTCCTCCATCATCTCCTCCTCCTCCTCCTCCTCCTCCTCCTCCTCCTCCTCCTCCTCCTCCTCCTCCTCCTCCTCCTCCTCCTTCTTTCCAGGAACCCCATTCCCTTCTAGCACTGATAACGGAACTCAATTTTATCATGAAACATCTGCAAGAAAACCACCAAGCTCAGAGAGCACCAAGGACTCCTCCAACATCTCCTCCTCCTCCTCCTCCTGCTCCTCCTCCTGCTCCTCCTCCTTTCCAGGAACCCCATTCCCTTCTAGCACTGATAACGGAACTCAATTTTATCATGAAACATCTGCAAGAAAACCACCAAGCTCAGAGAGCACCAAGGACTCCTCCATCATCTCCTCCTCCTCCTCCTCCTCCTCCTGCTCCTCCTCCTTTCCAGGAACCCCATTCCCTTCTAGCACTGATAACGGAACTCAATTGTATCATGAAACATCTGCAAGAAAACCACCAAGCTCAGAGAGCACCAAGGACTCCTCCATCATCTCCACCTCCTCCTCCTCCTCCTCCTCCTCCTCCTCCTCCTCCTCCTCCTTCTTTCCAGGAACCCCATTCCCTTCTAGCACTGATAACGGAACTCAGTTGCATCAAGAAACATCTGCAAGAAAACCACCAAGTTCAGAGAACACCAAGGATCTCCTCCATCATCTCCTTCTCCTCCTTTCCACCTCCTCCTTTCCAGAAACCCCATTCCCTTCTAGCTCTGATAATAGAACTCAGTTGCGTCATGAAACGTCTGCAAGCAAATCACCAAGTTCAGGGAGCAACAAGGAACTTCACAGGGTTGAGGAAGGTGGATCAATTTCTCCTCCCACCTAACCTCCAGGCTACTCTTGAACTTAACACGAAGTCCACGTGCACAAGTGGCCTTAAGGATGCTTTTCTGAGAAACGTCTGGGATGAACCATTAGAGAGCAGGGGAGCTTTCATCACCGCGCGCCACCTCCCCAAGGAACATGTGTCATCAAAAGGAAACCCTTGAGGATCCAATAATAATGGACAATTGAGAGATTCACAAAAATTCAGAGGAAAATAAAATCAGGGCAACAAAAATCTCCAAACAATTAAGCTTTTATCTTCTACACAAAAACAGCAGTACAACCACCGCCTCTGCTTTCCACCCTCCCAGCCACACAGACCACAAATGAGCACGAAAAGATCCTTTAAAAGTAACCTCTGTGCTCCTTCTTCAGGGAAAAAAGCAGAAAGTGTAAAGTGAGCGAAACATTTCATCGCCACTTGGAAGAGGCGTCAAGTCTCGGTCGCGCAGTGAAATTTGACAATATTTTTGCCCGCGACTCGTTTTTCCTAGATTTGTTATTGTTAGTTGCGAAGTCGTGTCCGACCCATCGTGATCCCATGGACAATGTTCCTCCAGGTCTTCCTGTCCTCTACCATTTTCTGGAGTCCATTGAAGCTCACGCCTCCTGCTTCAGGGACTCCATCCAGCCACCTCCTTCTCTGTCGTCCCCTTCTTCTCTTGCTCTCCATCTTTCCCAGCATCAGGCTCTTCTCCAGGGAGTCCTTCCTTCTCATTAGGTGGCCAAAGTACCTGAGTTTCAACTTCAGGATTTGGCCTTCTAAAGAGCAGTCCAAGGGACTCACAGGAGTCTTCTCCAGCACCATAGTTCAAAGGCCTCAAGTCGTGTCCGACCCATCGTGACCCTGTGGACAACGTTCCTCCAGGCCTTCCTGTCCTCTACCATCTTCTGGAGTCCGTTTAAGTTCACGCCTCCTGCTTCAGTAACTCCATCCAGCCACCTCATTCTCCATCGTCCCCTTCTTCTCTTGCCCTCCATCTTTCCCAGCATCAGGCCCTTCTCCAGTGAGTCCTTCCTTCTCATTAGGTGGCCAAAGTACTTGAGTTTCAACTTCAGGATCTGGCCTTCTAAAGAGCAGTCGGGGTTGATCTCTTCTAGGACTGACCGGTTGGATCGCCTTGCAGTCCAGGAGACTGGCAGGAGTCTTCTTCAGCACCAGAGTTCAAAGGCCTCTATTCTTTGGCGCTCAGCCTTTCTTAGGGTCCAATTTTCACAGCCATACATTGCAACTGGGAAAAACTATGGCCTGGACCAGGGGTAGGCAACCTTGGCTCTTTTATGACTCGTGGACTTCAACTCCCAGAATTCCTGAGCCAGCATAGCTGAGCATAGCTGGCTCAGGAATTCTGGGAGTTGAAGTCCACGAGTCATAAAAGAGCCAAGGTTGCCTACCCCTGGCCTGGACTATACGCACTTTTGTTGGCAGGGTGATGTCTCTGCTTTTTAGTATGCTGCATTTTGCAAATACAGCTTGTTCTCAACTTGCAACAGTTTGAAGTTAATGATGGCACTCAATAGAGCGACTGATGACTGTTTTTCACCCTTACGACTGTTGTGCCCCCCCATGGTCACATGATCAAAATTCAGACATTTGGCAACTAATTTAACAACCGCCGTCATTCACTTAATACAACTGCGGGCAAGAAAGAACATAAAATGGGGCAAACTCACTCAACAAATATCTCACGTAGCAACGGAAACGTTGGGCTCAATTTCGAAAGTCGAAGACTACCTGTATTACAGGGATCTATCTCTTCCCCTTTGCTAATTCCTGGCTTTTCTTCTCCGTTCTCCAAGAAATTCTTCGCTCTCTCATTTAATTTCTAGACTCTCTTATGTCAAAAGAGCTAAAAGCAAACTAGCAAAGTCTGGCAGCCTAACAAGCTTCTCAGACTAAATAAACGAGCTCTGGAGCTCCGAAAATAACAAGGCAGTTCCAGGAATAAACAAGAAGAATCACAAATCTAAATCCCCCGGCTGTTTTGTTTTTTGTTTTTTTTGCTAAATAGGATTTTCCCCTTAATATTGATTTTTTTTAACACTCAGCAAACTCATCCTTCGCCATGCTAAACCAAAGCACTGAAGGCATCACTCAGTCAGAATTTTTCCATCTCTATTTAAGCTGCAGAACTCCTGATCAAAAGGCCAAGCTAGGTTGTTGTTAAAGCTGTAGTGAAAAAATGACAACAACTAGAGCAGTGGTTCTCAACCTTTTTAATGCCGCGACCCCAACCGGTCATAAGTCGAGGACTACTCAACCGGTCGTAAGTCGAGGACTACTCAACTGGTGCAGCACCGTTTGCAGAATGGGACTTTTGGCGGGCTCAGCAGGGCAGAGACAGCCTGGACAATTCCTATTGGCTTTTGAAAGCCAATAGAATTAGACTCTATTCAAGAGAGTCTATTCTATGGCTTTCAAAAGCCAATAGAATAAAAGGGAGTAGCACAGCTAAGGAAAAGGGGGGGGGGAAATGGCGGACTGCGTTGTTTGGCGACCCCCGTCAAATGGTCGTTCGACCCCAAATGGGGTCCCGACCCACAGGTTGAGAACCGCTGAACTAGAGCTTTGACCCAAAATTGGTTGGGTTCAGCTGTTCAGTTTCTCCGGGAATAATGGAGGTTTATGAAGTTCTACAGAGCACGTTATGTTTTCCCTCTGGAGAAAACATAGCAAATCAGTGGTAAAACATTTGTTGTGGATTCTGCAAGAAAAGTTTGGGGCACTACTGAGGAGAAGTTCTCATAGACCAAGGTGGAGAAGACAAAGAATCAGAGGCCTTCAGACTGACAAGATCTCACAGAGTTTCCTTACCTGGTTCTTTCCTCGTCTGCGGTAATTCCTTCTCACCAAGTTCTTGTAGTTCTCGTTCTTCTTGGTCAAATAGTAGTATAGGACACAATCCGCCACTGTCTAGAAAAAGAAAACACACACACACATGTAGATGATACTTGGTAACAGAGGTGTGGGAGGGAAGCACACTTTGGATAACACAATGTGGACCTTCTGATGCCATCGAGGTGTGTTTGTTCCTTTTCAAAGCACCACAACCCACAATGTAAGGACCCACCCCACTTTGCATCTTAAGAAGACAGAACTCTTGGAATAGTTCTTCCAACAGGAATCCTTTATTAAGAGAAAATGGTTGCAGGCGTTCTAGACAGGACTTGGGGTTCAAGCTCTCCCATTCGAGGTTTTAAGGGGTTCCCCAGTAGTCCCACCCAATCACCCCCCTCTTCCAGTGACAGTTTCAGGCATCACAATCCCACCACTTTTTTCCTTTCTGCTGGCTGGATGGAGACTTGAAAGGTAAATAGCCTCCTTTGTTATGATGAGGCCTTTTGGTGCTATCCACATTCAAACCCTTTGAAGTTGTACCGAAGGAAGTGAGGGCCATAAAGCCCCTTTGTTCACCCCCCTCTCTTTCTTGTATGACAGAATCCAGAGAGGGCAGAAATGGGGTTTTCTATAACTGATAACTGGAGATGAAGTATAATTGGATTCTGACACCACAAGAGGGCTGGCAAACCAGGATGACCAGCTCTTAGCGGAGGGGGTGGACCACTTTCCTTGGAAATAGCTGTCCCAGGCCAGGTTTCTGCTTTTATACTGGACGTTGGGAACTAATGCCCCCTGGAGTTGGCAGGCTGAGTTAGTCTGAATAAACGGAATTTGGGAAGGCCACCAAGAAGTTCCAACAGCTTCTTCACAGAAGGTCCGAGAGATTCCTTCACAAGAAAGAATCAAGTGGAAAAAGCTTGCTTTGATAAAAGGCAATCATGGAAAAGGATTCAAAGAAACCCACTTACTTTCCTGTCCAGAAAGGAGGCAATCAGACCGAAATTCTTTGGATGTTGCATGAACCTGGAAGCAGAAGAACCAAAGGAACGATTAAGAAAATAACCGTGAAGATGTTTGGTTGGGGAAACCAACTGTTGCTTCTTACTAAATAACCATCAGAAGCAAGAGCTGGGACGGAACGGTATCCAGCGGGGGGGGGGGGTATCCTACAGATCCTCTGTGCAGATAATCCTTGATGTAGGACCATACCAGAACCCAGAATTTCCATTGTTAATGATGGTTGTTAACCTGAGTCATCCATATAACTGGAGCCAATTTTACAACTCTTTTGCGGTTGTTGCAAGGGAAAACCGTGGTGACTTAATAAAAGGGGGGGGGGGTCCTTAAGTCAATCCAGGTATTTCTATGGCTGATTTTGGGATGGGAGTCAGAAATCAGCAGAAAAAGCCAGAAACTGGCAAAACCTGTGGTCAGGTGACTACGGAATGCTGCCAGCAGTTATCAGGGCTGCCAAGTCCCCCAAATGCAGTCATGTGATTCATGTGGGGAGCTGTTGGAACTCCAGAACTGGGTCCTAAGTAGCTTTTAGGAGGTCCATTGTAACTTCCACCAGTTGCTATGAGGAGAGGACTACAGATACTTTGAGCTATGCTTCCCCAAATCTCTCACCACAGGCCACGCAAGTTGGGAATGAAGAGAGTTAGTGTTGTGATTCCTCACCAGCCAGTAGATCCGGCAGCGGAGTCTAAGGAATCAGAGGAGAGGAGGGGCCTGGAGTGACATTAAGAGTCAGAAGAAGACTCTGAGGAGCTCCAAGACTTACAGTCGGCCCCTCTACTCGCGCTCAGGCTGAGACACAGCTGTACTGGGAGCCTGAGTTGGACAGTGATGAAGAACAGCTGGGACAAATCCTGGATGCACGAATGTGCAGGCAAGAGAAGCGAGTAGGACAGAGGAATGCAATGGGGTGGCTCCAAAGGCAAAGGAGAAGGCATTAGGAAGCCACGCCTTGGCTGAATTATAAAAGGGAAGGTGTGGGAGGTGTTGGTTGCCGAAGGCAGCCGTTCATGTTGAGGATCAAGTTTCTGTGGACTGTGTTTGTTTGTCTTGGACACTGTCTGTGGACTGTGTTTGTTTGTCTCAGGTCTGTGAGAATAAAAGGGGTTGGTTTTCTCTTCCGGTTCCTGCCTGTTTCTTGGAAGAGGGTTTCCTCCTTGTGAGCATAACAAGGACTCGCGTAAGCTGGGATAGAACAGGAAGGGACATGAGGTTGTCCACAGATGTTCCCCACTCCTTGCAGTGAAGACCTCCCCCTCTTAGCCTGCACCCTCAAGGACAAGCGAGGCGCTGCTCTCTACTCACTTCTCTCGGAAGGTCTCTTTCTCCTGCTCACTCCACATATTCATCACCTGCCGGTCCTTGTAGACCTTCATGGGGTCGTCCATCAGGCCGTTCATGTTGATGAACTTGATGCGTTGCTGTTCAGCGTCGTAAAGCATCGGGGGAATGACGGCCAGCTGGCGCATCTGTTTCTCCAGATTCTGGTAAGGAAGAGAAAAAAAGAGGACCTCGAGAGGAAGCAGATTTTTGGGGGGGGGAACAGCCCCAAGACCTTGACAAGAGGACCAACCTGGAAATAAGAATAGAATAGAGTAGAATAGAATTTTTTATTGGCCAAGTGTGGTTGGACACACAAGGAATAAGGTCTCTGGGATTGCGAGAAGATGGGCTTTTGTCCGTCTGCTGTGACGTCTCATTCCACCTTTCGAGTAATTACTGTTGTGAATTTCCTCGGGACCCCAAAACACAGCCCGAGAGTTTAAGCCCAGCTTTAAAAAATGTGGGGTTCATTTCATAAACCCGTGGGTCTTGCTGGGATCGATGGAAATGAAGGGCGAACTACTGGTGAATTTCGGTTAATGTTGGTTTCACTGAGTACATTACAGAAATGCTGGAAAGCCAATAAATGACTCCCCTGACGTCTGTGTGGAACCTCCATGGCCAGAAATAGACTATCCCAGAATATGACTTTTCTGGATGGGATAAACAACAGGAGACCAGCTGCAGTCTTCAGGTCCAGCTTGTGAACTTTTCCAAGATGCCATTTTAGGAAGTCCAATGCTAGATGAGATGTTTCTTGGACCTGACCCAGCTTCTTTGTTTATGTTAGCTATGTAACAGTGATGGGAATCTCCAGATACTGAGAAAGTCCACCTCAGAGATCTGAGGACCACGGCAAATAGATGACCACAGACTTTATTTCCTGCTGGTGGACTTCTTGGAAACATCTGGCTGCTCATGATAAGAACTAAGGTGGGTTGGATTTGACAGGCCTTTGGCTTAATCCAGCACAAAGGGGGATTAGGCCAGCAACCAATACCGGAACACCAAACATTGGAGAACGGAGCTCCATCTGAGTTTTGCCTAGGTTGGGAGAATCAAGCTGCGGGCTTCAGGCCTCCATCTTATAAAAGGCCAACTGGGAAATGAATGGGGAGGTCTCCCCAAAAAGGGGAGGGTTGAGGCCCATCAAATGCCTCGGGGTGTTGGTTTCTAATAAGGTCTTCAAAGCAGGAGATAAGAGAGCACAAAGGGCAAAGCAGGAGAAGCTCTTGGTCCAATCCAGGGGTAGGCAACCTTGGCTCTTTTATGACTCGTGGACTTCAACTCCCAGAATTCCTGAGCCAGCCACACTGAGGGGAAAGGGAGAGATTTCCAAGCTGAGCCATGCTGGCTCAGGGATTCTGGGAGTTGAAGTCCACAAATCATAAAGCGGCCTAGGCCTAGGCCAGGGGTAGGCAACCTTGGCTCTTTTATGATTCAAAGTGGACTTCAACTCCCAGAATTCCTGAGCCAGCCATGCTGAGGGGAAAGGGAGAGATTTCCAAGCTGAGCCAGGCTGGCTCAGGAATTCTGGAAGTTGAAGTCCGCGAGTCATAAAAGAGCCAAGGTTACCTATACCCCTGGTCCAATCCATCCAAAGACCAGCTCCGCGGCTGAAGTTAATGCAATTTCCCAGCAGCTTGAGCAACCATCTCCCATCTCCGGATCGGTGGTGATTGCAGCTCTGCCCCAGCGGGAGAGAGGAGAGCTGAGAAGGAGAGGACTTGAAGCCCAGGAGAACTGCTGGCCCAGCCTCACCTCCTGTTCCGAGAGACCGTCAATAATCTCCGACACCTCGTGTTCGCTGCGGGCTGCCGACATGGAGAACCCGCTGCCTCTCTGTCCTCCCCTGCTGAGAAACGGCAGAGAAAAACCGCTTAGAGACCTCTTTTTTCTCCCTGCCCATGGCCTCCAACCGCCAAGAAAGAGGAAGTAAGATCAATGCTGGGAAAGACAGAGGGTGGAGGGGAAAGTAGACCAGGAGGAGGGCTGTAGGAGCAAGACCAATGAGCCAAAGGCAGACCTTCTAATCCAGACATGTCAAAAACAAGGCCCCCGAAGTGGTTTCATGTGGCCCGCGAAGCCATCCTGGAAACACTGAGGGAACGGCCCCCACTGCCTTGGCCCTGTCCCAGGCTGGCCGGGAGCCAATGTACAATTTGGTGGTGGCCATCTATGCTGAAACGCATTTGGTCTTAGCTCCATAAGCCCCCCTCCCCTTGCATGGTCTGAGAGGAATAGTGGGGCTCCTGCAGTGGTCCATGCCTCGGCACTTGCCCCAGTCCCACCCCCTTCTGCCAGAGACTCTCAGATCTGTCCCACTCCTGGCCAGGCCCCGACAGACACCCTTGACGCGAACGATGTAGAGCTGGTCATGCCCACACAGTAGGCCATGCCCACTCCATCCACGCCCACCCAGGTCGGCCAGGAGCCAATGTACAATTTTGTGGTGGCCATCTATGCTGAAACACATAGCTCCACAAGACCGTCTGGAAACAGCGAGGAACCAGCCCCTGCCACGTCGGCCTTGCCCCCTAGGTGCATGCTGGGGAGGTGTCACCCTTTGTGAGGAATGAAGAAATGCACCATCGCCTGGAAGTGGCCAACAAATGGCCCTCGCCTACTTCACCTATCCAGCTTGATGGGCTCCGGTGCAGGGGCTTCACAGGCAGTGAGGCTCCTCCAGTGGACCATGCCTTGGCGCTTGCCCCGGTCCCACCCCCTTCTGCCAGAGACCCTCAGATCTGTCCCACTCCTGCCCAGGCCCCCACAGGCACCCTTGACGCGAACGATGTAGAGTTGGCCATGCTCACCCAGTAGGCCACACCCTCCATCCACGCCCACCCAGTAGGCCGCACCCACCCTGGCCACACCCACCTAGCCCCGGGGACAACCGCAATACTGATGCGGCCCTCAATGAAATTGAGTATGACACCCCTTTTCTAGTCATTCAGCGGATCTGCCCTACCAAGAAAGGTTTACGTGGGCATGTCTTTGCCCGCGTGTTTTGATTATTCCTTAGCACAGTGATGGCGAACCTTTTAGAGACCGAGTGCCCAAACTGCAACCCCAAACCCACTTATTTATCGCTGGGTACCAGATGGGCGTGGCTGTGGTGGGTGTGGCCAAGGTGGGCATGATCACCTCGATGTTGCTCGTGGGGACAGATGCCTGTGGGGACCGGGCAAGGTTGGGAGAGAACCAGGGGGTCTCTGGCAGGTGGGGTGGTAGGCAGAAGGCTCATCCTACGGGGTGAGGTGAGGCAAGGCGAGGCAGGACGGGGGTGCTATTGTCACAGGGCAAGGTGAGGCAGGGGCCAGGGCGGCTGCTGCCTGACACCCATCGGCCCCTGCACACAGAGGCCAGCGAGCACATGGGTGCTGGGATGCATCCAGCCATGTGGGACCTCGGCGAGTTAGCGGACGGCTAGTTGAAGAGGGACGGTTGCCATCTCCTGGGCATGGCGCACGTGCCCACAGAGAGGGCTGAGTGCCGACTCTGGCACGCGTGCCATAAGTTCACCACCACTGCCTTAGCACAACAGGCGTGTTCTGGTGGCCCTCTTGAGAAGCTACACACTCCAAAAAACATGACTGGGAAGGGGGTACTTGATGAAGAAATGAGTGGATGAAGATGAGACCCTCCAACTCAACTGGAAGCTCAGCTCCAAGGCAAACAAACCAATTAACCTGTGTTTCAAAGAACTACTCCTCTGTGCAATTTATTTGCAGATCCCCCTTAAAAACTGCAACTTGACCGCCAACATCAGGGAGGGGGTTTTGTAATTTTAGGTTGCAGCAGTATGTAAAGTCATCGAGATGGTTTTCGATGGTCCCACCTTCTCTCTTCAAAGTTCCTGGTGGGCAGAAGAGAGGATTGCAAACTGGATCTGGGTGGAGGGCAGGATTTTGGTCCCAGGGATGAACTAAAAGTTTCCCGTAGGGAAGGAGGAAGCCCCCTCTGGAACGTACATCTCATGAGGGACCACCAGCTGACCTTTGCATTCGTTCCTGAAGTTCTCTCTGCTTCCTAATCTCGGGGAATTGCTTCTCATAATATTCACGAACTCTGCTCTCTTTAGCTCGGCGCCGGGGGTTATTTTCAATGCGTTCCACCTTCTTCTCCCAGACTTCCATCAGCTGGTCATACCGCTGGCAGAACTTCTGCTCCTGAAGAGACAGGGAAAGAGAAGTCATAAAAGGAGGTTCCAGTGCCCTCAAATCCATTTGGAAACTGTTATCTACTCAACAGGGATTTCCCAAGTCCAATTTACACCTTCTGAAACTCATCCAGGAGAACGTCTAGTGGAAGAACCACAAACTTTCTTAGTGTTCATTCAACCTGCAACAGCATCCTTTGATCCTGGTGAGGGATGTGAGCGCAGCAAGGACAGATTAACAACTACAGTGTGTGGCTTGGCACGAACCTAGCCCCATTATGGTTTAGTCAATGAAACATGGTTTTAGCGTGGAGCGAGTTCCATAAGAATCACAATTCTGCATGAACCAGCTAGGACACTTCTCGCTTCCTTTCGCATGAAGCCAGCTTTCCCAGGAAAACTTGGCGTGCAACACAGTGAAGCTATTGGTTTCCCAGTCTTTAAAAAAAAAAAAAAACAAGGCCATTGAAATTCACACAATACAACAGAGCGCACGCACAAAGGAAAGCACAGCAGAAAGATCAATATATGGAGCGCTGCCATTCGCTTTACGATTCCTCGGTTTCAGGTCCTCAATAAATAAATAAAGATCTGCAACCCAAAGGGACAGGAAGAGAGATTTTTCAATAAATGTATCTTCAGAACTCGAGATGTGTCTACCTAGAGATGGAAGCCAAAGGAACACGTGCATTAAGAGCAGTGTGGCTGACTAAGAGACAACCCTACCCTGTAGAGAGATTTAGGAGACCAAAAACAAAGAGCTTGAGAAAATGAAGGACCATCTCAAACCTTTCTCAAAGAAAGTGCATTCACAGAATACAGAATAACAGAAGGGACCTTGGAGGTCTTCTAGTCCAACCCCCTGCTCAAGAGACCCTATCCCATTTCAGACCAACGGTTGTCCAATCTTTTCTTAAAAGCCTCCAATGTTGGTGCACCCACAACTTCTAGTGACAAGCCATTCCACTGAATAACAGAATAATGGAGCTGGAAGGGACCTTGGAGGTCTTCTAGTCCAGCCCCCTGCTCAAGTAGAGGACCCTATTCCATTTCAGACAAATAGCTGTCCAATCTCTTCTTAAAAGCCTCCAGTGTTGGTGCACCCACAACTTCTGGAGGCAGGTTGTTCCACTGGTTAATTGTTCTAACTGTCAGGAAATTTCTCCTTAATTCTAGGCCAGGGGTAGGCAACCTTGGCTCTTTTATGACTCGTGGACTTCAACTCCCAGAATTCCTGAGCCAGCCGTGCTGAGGGGAAAGGGTGTGGTTTCCAAGCTGAGCCATGCTGGCTCAGGAATTCTGGGAGTTGAAGTCCACAAGTTCTGAAGGGGCCAAAGTTTCCCCCATGCTGGCTCAGGAATTCTGGGAGTTGAAGTCCACGAGTCATAAAAGAGCCACGGTTGCCTAGCCCTGCAGTAGGCTGCTTCTCTCCTTGATTAGTTTCCATCTGTTGCTTCTTGTCCTGCATCTCCGCCTCTGAGTAAGATGCTTGCTTGCAGCCTGCCTGCCTGCCTGCCTGCCGAAGCAGGATAAGCATAGCAAACCCCGTTTGGGGGTTTCACAAAAGGAAGCAAACATTTCTCACCCACTGTTTACGAGCATGGTTTCTCCTCTTGAAGTATAAAATCAGCTTCTTCCGCATTGCCTGGTTTCTGCAAAAGAGAGAGAGGATAAATACAGTTGGACCAATGGAGGGCCGCTTCTCCTCCACATCCTGAATTGCTAGCTGTGGTGAAATGCCAACAGCAGCAACAGTGGACTCACATGCCATCAACTCTGGGCCTTTTCTTGGTTTTTCATTTTTGCATTTATTTTTATTCCAGTGTTATGGTTTTAATCTCAAGGCTGTGAGCGTACCTCCTCCTTCTATTTTTCTGCAACAACAACTCTGCAAGGTGGGTTGGGCTGAGAGGGAAGGATTAGCCCAGAATCATCCAACTGGCTTTCATGTCTAAAGAAGGTCTAGAACTTACTGTCTCCTGGTGATTGGCCAAGGTCACCCAGCTGGCTTTCAAGCTTAAGGCAGGACTAGAACTCACCGTCTCCTAGTGATTGGCCTAAGGTCACCCAGCTGGCTTTCATGTTTAAGGCAGGACTAGAACTCACCGTCTCCTAGTGTTTGGCCCAAGATCACTCAGTCAACTTTCATGCCTAAATTGGGACTAGAACTCACCATCTCTGATGTTTGGCCAAAAGTCACCCAGCTGACTAACTACACCACAATCCACTCCAAGGCTTTTGGGGGGATCCCTGATAAACTCTGATTTGGCTCACGATACTCTTGGCTATATTCACACAACCAGTTTAGTTCGGCCACTTCCAATCTTGCAGTCTCATTCACACGACGCGCAAAGCTCTTTTTTGTTGTTGTTTTTTCCCTAGATAACATTGTTTATGGTCCAACGTAAGGCATGAAAAGGGCCAGTTCGGGAAGTAAGTCAAATGGGATGCATGCAACCCCAATTTTACTATCACTTCCTTTGGCAGGAAAAGCAACAGCTGTTTGTGATAGAAGAAACCAACCTGCTGTTTGGGCACTCTGGATTGAAAACATCTGCATCAAACCAGGAGCATCCCATTTGCTCTTTTTCAAAGACAACAAAACAAAATAAACCAGCTTCTTGAACTGAGAAGCTGACACTAATCAGTTCTCAAAAGAAAACGGAGAAGCTGAATTTACACTTTGGCTGGAAAAAGGATTCAGCTGTAAAAAAAACAAATTTGATTTCTAAGGTAGCATCTAGCCGGTGGTGGTTGTTTTTTTTCCAGCACAAAATAGCCCTCAATAACAAACACCAGCAGCCAACTTTACAAATAAAGGTAAAAGTGGACCGAAAAAAACCTCACTATTGTGCCGAGATGCAGAACAATAACAGAAGAAAGCTCGTATTGAAATTTAGAGGCTGAATTCCTTTCAAAGCCTGCTTTGCAGTGGGTAATTTAAAAAGAAAGAAAGAAACCCCTCCAGGGAGCTCAGAATTAAAACTGATTTTTGCAGATGAATGCCATTCCTGTATAGGCCAACTTCCATGTTTCTACATCTTACGATGGGATCAAAACACCACCTCCTAAAGCTTAAATCCCTGGAAGGAGGGGCTATCTGGGGTCTTTTCAAACTCACAACATGGATGAATTTTAAATTCAGGAATTGGGAGCTATGCATCCATTTTCTGGGGATGGAGGCAACTGGGAAGAAACAAAACTTTTCTGAAGGAACAGCTTCTCTTAAGAGCAGCAGAAAGCAGCGTTGGCAACTTTAAAATGTGTGGACTTCAACTCCCAGAATTCCCCAGCCAGCATGAAGTCCACCTGGCTGGGGAATTCTGGGTACTGAAGTCCACCTGTCTTAAAGCAAGCTGGCTGGGGAATTCTGGGTACTGAAGTCCACCTGTCTTAAAGCATGCTGGCTGGGGAATTCTGGGTACTGAAGTCCACCTGTCTTAAAGCATGCTGGCTGGGGAATTCTGGGTACTGAAGTCCACCTGTCTTAAAGCAAGCTGGCTGGGGAATTCTGGGTACTGAAGTCCACCTGTCTTAAAGCAAGCTGGCTGGGGAATTTGGGTACTGAAGTCCACCTGTCTTAAAGCATGTTAGCTAGGGAATTCTGGGTACTGAAGTCCACCTGTCTTAAAGCATGCTGGCTGGGGAATTCTGGGTGCTGGAAGTCCACCATCTTAGTTACCACGTCTGAGGAACCCTGATCTTGAAGTTGCCAATGATCTCCTAAGTCAAGGGTCTTCAAACTTGGCCCTTTTATGACTTGCGGACTTGGCTGCGGAATTCTGGAAGTTGAAGTCCACAAGTCATTAAAGGGCCAAATTTGAAGACCCCTGTTGTAAGTTCATCAAACAGTCTTTAGAAGCTGGGGGGAAAAAAACAAGGCAGCTAAATCTGACATTTTAATCTTCTGTGCAATCTTCAGGAGATGAACCCCTTTACATTTGGGAAGTCAGCAAAATACTTGGGGAGGGTTGCTAGGCACCGGGAACCCCACCGTCTGCCCTGCCCTCCCCTCCCCAAACATCTTCTGGATTCTCTTTCATCTCTCCCTCTTTTTTCAAACCCTGCAGCTCCCTCTGCAAATTTTCTGGGAATAGCCCGTAAGAACCTCAAGCGTGCAGGGCTTTTTTGTCCACGTAAATGTGCAAAGACACAGGAAGCTGTTTGTGGAGAGGTTAAACTGGGTCAGCTCTTGCAGGCATCACGTGCCTGGTCCCCAGGGGCAGAGCTGAGGCAAACACACAGGTTGGCTGATGCAGCTGAGAAACTAGAGAGAAAAAAAACACACACACACATGGAGGAAGGAGGCACACACTGTGTTTGCAAGTAGCCCTTGGGGAAAACCAGGCAGAGAACTGGCCAGGCTTCCTGGCAGCAAACATCTAACAGGGGATGCCAGCCCAGGAGAAGGAAAATTAGAAGCTTTAAAGCCACAAGGTGGGGGGGGAGGTGGGGAGGGTTACAAATCCCAAGTTCCTATCCAAGGAATACATACCTGATGATAGATAGACAGACGATAGATAGATAGATAGATAGATAGATAGACAGACAGACAGACGATGATAGATAGATAGATAGATAGATAGATAGATAGATAATAGATAGATAGATGATAGATAGATAGATAGATAGATAGACAGATAGATAGATAGACGATAGATGACAGATGATAGACAATATATAGAATAACAGACAGACAGATGATAGACAGACAATATATAGAATATAGAAAGATGGATAGTTGGATGGATGGATGGATAGATGGATATAGATAGGTATAGATAAATGGATAAATGGATAGAAACAGAGGGATAGATGGATGGATATAGAGAGATACATATAGATAAAAGGCTAGATGGGCAGAAATAGTGAGAGAGATAAGTGGATAAATGGATGGATATATAGATAGAGAGGTAGATACAGATAAATGGATGGATGGATAGAAATAAAGAGAGAGCTAAATGGATAGATGGAACGCTAGCTGTAGAGATAGACAGATATAGATCGATGGATAGAAATAGAGAGATGGATATAGAGAGATAAGAGGATAGACGGACAGAACCAGTGAGAGAGAAATGGATAAATGGATGGAAATATAGATAGAGAGGTAGATACAGATAAATGGATGGATGGATAGAAACAAAGACGGGACTAAATGGATAGATGGAATGCTAGCTATAGAGATAGAGAGACAGAGATAAATGGATAGATGGATGGACATCGATAGACAGATAAAGGGGGAGTAGTCCCCCCCAAAAATTCTATTTTTGAGACGCTGGCTGGGAGCTTTGAAAGCCGAAGCACAGAGATGGGAGATATTTTGCTGCTGGCTACTTACATTTTAATGTTTTCATGGTATTGCCTGGTATCCGAAGGCTGATTGTACAGGGGCTGAAAAAGACAAGAACATTCGAAGTGTGAAAGAGGGCAAGGACAGAGCACAGGGGCCCTGCTGGGGTTCAAAAGCTGACAACTTGGAAGTCTCCAAGTTTAAAGAAGGGGGGGTCCTTGAAGCTCCAAATTTGGTCAAACAGCCAAGCAACATCACTCGTTTGGTTGCACTCTCCTGCCTCTTTCATTCGTTTTTTTCCTCCCTCTCTCTGGATTCCCTCCCTCTTCCATTCTTAGGTCCTCCTTCACCAAAACAGGGCTGAGCTAAGAAATTTCTTTCAAAAGAACCTGCTCTGAAATAAAAGACGGGTGTCCCCCCCCCCAACACCTCTACAAACCACAGCAGAACTTGATTAATTTGGAACGACCAACGCAAGTTGTACGCCCAGGAAGGAACACCATCCAGCAGCAGACCAGAAGCTCTTCCCAAAATATCCCAAGATCGACTTAAGCTGAAAATGGAATCCAGACCCTAGGCTGAAAGAACCTATTTTCAACCTTTGGAAGAAATACAACGGAGATCGAAGTGCAAAAAAACGCATCTTTCCTGTATTCCGTATCACAAAACCATAGAACTGTGTAGAGATGGAAAGGACCACAAAAATGTATCTGTCCCTTCCAGGCTTTCAGCAATCTTCAGGAAAATCAATTAAACCAGCTTCCAGAAGTGGCTGCCCACCCTGTTTTGAAAAGCCTCCAGAGATAACAACGAAGGAGAGTATTTGTAGCTTAGGGTTGAAATGGGGGGTCCTTGGTGCTCTCTGAGCTTGCTGGTTTTCTTGCAGATGTTTCATTACCCTGAATTTCACTGCCCTAAGCACTGATGATGCTACCTAGTTTGGGTAATGAAACGTCTGCAAGAAAACAAGCAAGCTCAGAGAGCACCTGGGACCCCATAGTCCATCAGTCCTTCCTTCCTTCCTCCCTCCCTCCCTCCTCTCCATAAATTCCACTCCCTTCTAGCACTGACAATGTTACCTAGTTGGGTCATAAAACGTCCGCAAGAAAACAAGCAAGCTCAGAGAGCACCAAGGTCCCCATAGTCCTTCCTTCCTTCCCTAAATTCCATTCCCTTCTAGCAGTGATGATGTTACCTAGCTGGGTATTGAAACGTCTGCAAGAAAACAAGCAAGCTCAGAGAGCACCCAGGACCCCATAGTCAGTCCTACCTTCCTTCCTTTCCTTCCTTCCTTCCTTCCTTCCTTCCTTCCTTCCTTCCTTCCTTCCTTCCTTCCTTCCTTCCTTCCCTCCCTCCCTCCCTCCCTCCCTCCCTAAATTTCATTCCCTTATAGCAGTGATGATGTTACCTAGCTGGGTATTGAAACGTCTGCAAGAAAACAAGCAAGCTCAGAGAGCACCCAGGACCCCATAGTCATCCTTCCTTCCTTCCTTCCTTCCCTCCCTCCCTAAATTCCATTCCCTTCTAGCAGTGATGATGTTACCTAGCTGGGTAATGAAACATATTTCAAGAAAACAAGGAAGCTCAGAGAACACCCAGGAACCTATATAGTCCGTCTGTCCTTCCTTCCTTCCTTCCTTCCTTCCTTCCTTCCTTCCTTCCTTCCCTCCCTCCCTCCCTCCCTCCCTCCCTCCCTTTCCTAAATTCAATCCCTTCTAGCTCTGATGATGTTACCCTGTTAGGGTGATGAAACGTCTGCAAGAAAACAACCAAGCTCAGAAAGCACCAAGGAACCCATAATCCTTCCTTCCTGTCTTCCCTCCCCACTCCCCTCCCCTCCCTAAATTCCACTCCCTTCTAGCACTGATGATGTTACCTAGCTGGGTAATGAAACGTCTGCCAGAAAACAAGCAAGCTCAGAGAGCACCCAGGATCCCTCGCTCCAGAGATAAATCACCTCAATTAAGTAAGATTTTTCCAGTAGATATTTCTCCCTATTTTTAAATGAAATCTAGGAAGCTATTACTTACACCCAGGGCTTTTTTTGTCACAGAACGCCCAGAACGGAGTTCCAGCACCTTTTTGGGATGGCACCTTGTAAGGTAGGCAAGGCGGGTTGTATGACGTGTGTGAGTTCCGGCACCTTTTTTTTTTTTCCTCAAAAAAAGCACTGCTTACACCCATTCCTTCTAGTCTTGTTTCGGTGGCTATAGAAAACAATTTCTACCCATTTTTCCTGTAGCCTCTGGTTAGGGACCGGAAGAAAGCTATCATGTGTCTTACAAGCCTGCTTTTCTTCAGCCTGAACATTCCAAGTTCCTGTCCAGCCAACATGGCTTTTCTCCTTTGACCGTAAGACGAATTTCTACAGCCTCCTTTCACCATTACTAGCATTTAGACCAATTAATCATTCGTTACGGTTGTGACTCTTTGGGTTCTTTCCAGATGAGTCACCCAGCCAAGGCTTTCAGAGCTGAGCATAATAACTCATCAGCTAGGAAGCTTCAACAAGGGCTACAATCCTACGCGGGTCAGCACCACCCTCTCCCCCCCCCTCCTCTGGTGATCAAGTAAGGTAGAGCAGTGGTTCTTAACCTTTTTGAAGGAATCGCCCCCTTGAGCCAATGAGGAAGTTGTCATCGCCCCCCTCCCTCAACATAACCTCTCAATCACAACATAGGAAATAATTCTTCAATTTATGCAAACACTTTTTTTGTTTGCTTTAAAATTGTCATCAGGACGTATCGATGCAAATAATTTATTTCCAGTCTTTTCCCCATATCTCCCATATTCTGGCCAATGGCGCGCCACTGTATGGGTAGAGGCTGCTGTGCAACGCACATGAAGGTGCTTATTCACATAGGTACGGCGTTCTGTACTGAAGCTAGCTGGAGGAACATTTGAAAACACAATTCAATCCACTAATAGCGAGCGATCTGATGTTTTTGTACGACAGATATACAGCGATTCACTGTATGAAAAAGTCTCAAAAGTGTCCCCCAAACTTCTCGCTCCATCGCCCCCATGTCGCCCCCTTTTCGTTCCATGGCTCCCCTGAAAAATGAAATCGCCCCCTGGGGGGCAATATTGCCCAGGTTAAGAACCACTGAGATAGAGTTTCCCAACATTCCTGGCTTTGTGGATTGGCGGGGAGGGAGTGAAGAGGGGATGGTTCTGGGCGAGCAGCTGACAAGCATGCACATTGCGTAAGCATCGTGCACGTACGCCCGCCACTCACTCAAATGGGCCACGCACACGTTCACCCACTGATCGTGCAAGTAAAGATACACGTGCACGCACCAGCCGCAGCCCAGTTGCAAACCCCTCATGGCCAACTAGCGGGCCGCAGCCCACAGGTTGGAGACCCCTGAAGTAAGGAGATGGGGAAGTCTCTCCCCACAAAGTGTGAGGTAGAAAGGGGAGATGGGGTTGTGAAGAAGGAAGATACGTGGGTGACTTCAACCGGACTGCAACTCTTAGATCAACCATTCCTTGCTGAGTCAGTCAACCTTCAGCTCTGCCTGTAGAAGGTCAGCATTCAAGGATTTGAATGCTATCTTCTTCTTGCGGCTACTTTTTGTTGTTGTTGTGGGAAAAAATGAAGGGAGAAACTTGAATGATAGGAGACTACATCACCCTTCAGGCCAGGAATTCTTTCTAGAAGCAGAAAGAGGAGGCAATGTCCATCCAATGAGCTTCAAACTGTTATGAAAAGTGGGCCACAGGGACTGAGCAAATTTCTGGAGACTGGTAAATCCTTTCTTGAAGACTCAGAGGTCTTCTCCCATGAAGGACTGTGAATAGATTCCTCTCCATTGGGTGGGACATCTGGAGGAGATTTGGGACTGCGGAGATGATGCTCAGAGCTACAAGCAACCATGGGACTCTTGAATGAATTCTTTTGGTCTGGAAGGTCAAAAAGTCCTACAAGTTTCAGTTAAGAAGCAGTTCCTCGGATGCCACCCCGAAAAATCTCACAAGGGAATGGAATGGAATGGAATAGAATAGAATTCATGGGAATGAATGGGATGGGATGGGATGGGATGGGATGGGATGGAATGGAATGGAATGGAATATGGAATGGAATAGGAATAGAATAGAATAGAATAGAATAGAATAGAATAGAATAGAATAGAATTCAGAATGAATGGGATGGGATGGCATGGGATGGGATGGGATGGGATGGGGTGGGGTGGGGTGGGGTGGGATGGATGGAATGGAATAGAATAGAATAGAATAGAATAGAATAGAATAGAATAGAATAGAATAGAATAGAATAGAATAGAATAGAATAGAATAGAATAGAATAGAATAGAATTCAGAATGAATGGGATGGGATGGGATGGGATGGGATGGAATGGAATGGAATGGAATGGAATGGAATGGAATGGAATAGAATAGAATAGAATAGAATAGAATAGAATAGAATAGAATAGAATAGAATAGAATAGAATAGAATAGAATAGAATAGAATTCAGAATAGAATTCAGAATGAATGGGATGGGATGGGATGGGGTGGGATGGGATGGGATAGGATAGGATAGGATAGGATAGGATAGGATAGAATAGAATAGAATAGAATAGAATAGAATAGAATAGAATAGAATAGAATAAGAATAAGAATAGAATAGAATAAGAATAGAATAGAATTCAGAATGAATGGGATGGGATGGGATGGGATGGGATGGGATGGGATGGGATGGGATGGGATGGGATGGGATGGGATGGGATAGGATAGAATAGAATAGAATAGAATAGAATAGAATAGAATAGAATAGAATAGAAGCTGGAAGGGACCTTGGAGGTCTTCTAGTCCAGCCCCCTGCTCAAGCAGGACACCTATACTATTTCTGATAAATGGCTATACAGTCTCTTCTTCTTAAAAGCCTCCAGTGATGGAGCGCCCACGATTTCTGGAGGCAAGCTGTTCCTCTGGTTAATTGTCCTCACTGTCAGGAAGTTTCTCCTTAATTCCAGACTGCTTCTCTCTTTGATCAGTTTCCATCCATTGCTTCTCGTCCTTCCCTCTGCCTTGTGGCAGATACTGGAACACTGCTATCCTGTCTCCCCTATTTCTTCTTTTCCTTAGACTAGCCAAACCCAAGTCCTGCAGCCGTTCTTCGTATGTTTTAGTCACCAGGCCTTTAATCATTTTAGGATCATTTAGATCTGGAGGATCTGCTTGCTGACCAGAGATGAAACTTTTCCACACTTTGTGTGCTGTAGCTATGTGACCTATGGGTGGTAGGACAGATGACAGGAGCTGTGATTTAATATATTTGGTGGGTAGTGATGGTAGATAACTGTGCAGAAGACAAAAAGTGTCGGCCAAGAGGACTTCTCTAGTAAATTGCTTTTTTTTCTCCTCCAACACTTGGTTACCCCAGGACTTACTCAACCGGAAGTGTCTTGTGGAAATTAATCACAGCTGCACCAGCCGTGAACTTCTCCATGTGCAGAAACCTCTTGAAAAATAACAAACAAAAGGGATCTAGACCTCCCTCTCAAAAACAGACCTCGCTTTTTCCATTTTTCCATTCAAGAGGCAAAAAGTTTTGGAAGAGAGGATGCCTTAGGAACAAACACTTCTGTCTTTCCTTCGTTTCTTGGTGGCCTCTTAAGGACCCCGGAAGGTTAACACACTCAGTCAACTCCTGCACATTAGATTGCTCTAATGGTTGCAGCAGCAGCAGCAGCCAAAAAAGCTAACACAGTCCTGGGTTGCACAAACAGAGGCATAGAATCAAGATCACGCAAAGTATTAGTACTGCTTTATAAAACCCTAGTGAGGCCACACCTGGAATACTGCAGCCAATTTTGGTCACCACCTTACAAAAAAGATGTTGAGACTTTGGAAAAAGTGCACAGAAGAGCAACTAAGATTATCAAAGGCCTGGAGACTAAAACATACGAAGAACGGCTGCAGGACTTGGGTTTGGCTTGTCTAAAGAAGGGCTGTGAAAGTTGGACCATAAGAAAGGCTGAGCGCCAAAGAATTGAGGCCTTTGAATTCTGGTGCTGGAGAAGACTCCTGCGAGTCCCTTGGACTGCAAGGTGTTCAAACCGGTCAGTCCTAGAAGAGATCAACCCCGACTGCTCTTTAGAAGGCCAAATCCTGAAGTTGAAACTCAAATACTTTGGCCACCTAATGAGAAGGAAGGACTCACTGGAGAAGGGCCTAATGCTGGGAAAGATTGAGGGCAATAGAAGAAGGGGACGACAGAGAATGAGATGGTTGGATGGAGTCACTGAAGCAGGAGGTGTGAACTTAAATGGACTCCAGAAAATGGTAGAGGACAGGAAGACCTGGAGGAACGTTGTCCATGGGGACACGACTTCGCAATTAACAACAACAAAGTCTAAAGAAAAGAAGAAATAGGGGAGACATGACAGCAGTGTTCCAGTATTTGAGGGGCTGCCACAAAGAAGAGGGGATCACATTATTCTCCAAAGCACCAGAGGGCAGAAGAAGAAATAATGGTTGGAAACTGACCAAAGAGAGAAGCGACCTGGAATTAAGGAGAAACTTCCTGACCGGGAGGACAATTCACCAGTGGAACAGCTTGCCACCAGAAATCGTGGGCGCTCCATCACTGGAGATTTTTAAGAAGAGACTGGATAGTCATTTGTCTGAGATGGTGTAGGTTCTCCTGCTTGAGCAGGGGGCTGGACTAGAAGACCTCCAAGGCCCCTTCCAGCTCTGTTCTATTCTATTCTCTAATGGGGGGGGGCGACAGTGTGTGTGAATTGGAGTGTTTTTCCCCCACTTGGAGAAGAGACAACACTCTGATCAGCCCTAGCAGTACAGGTAGCTCTCAACCTACGACCGCAACAGAGCCCAGAATTTGTGCTGTGAAGTGAGACATCTGTTAAACGGGTTTGGTCCCATTTTATGAGCGCCCCCCCCCCATAGATATGAGTCAGTGGCATCAAGCATCCGAATGTAAATCGCGTGACCCTGAGAATGCTGTGAAAAACGGTCATGAAAGTCACTTTTTTCAGCACCGACGTAACTTCGAACGGTCGCTGAACAAACTAATTCGAGGACTCCCTGTAGTTTTTTTTAAGCAGATTTAAATCATTTCTGTTTATATTTTCTTTTTCATCCCTGGCCAGGAATAGACAGACAGGAGAAACGGGTTTTCCTTGAGTCACAACTGTTCATTTAGAGCAGTGGTTCTCAACCTTTTTAATGCCGCGACCCCCAACCGGTCATAAGCCGACGACACTCAACCAGTCGTAAGTCGAGGACTACTCAACGGGTGCAGCACCATTTGCAGAATGGGACTTTTGGCGGGCTCAGCAGGGCAGAGACAGCCTGGACAATTCCTATTGGCTTTGGAAAGCCAACAGAATTAGACTCTATTCAAGAGAGTCTATTCTATTGGCTTTCAAAAGCCAATAGAAGAAAAGGGAGTAGCACAGCTAAGGAAAAGGGGGGAAAAAATGGCGGACTGCGTTGTTTGGCGACCCCCGTGAAATGGTCGTTCGACCCCAAATGGGGCCCCGACCTACAGGTTGAGAACCACTGAATTAGAGACTGTTTCAAAGTTTCAACAGCACTGAAAAAATCTGACTTACAGCCAATCAGTTCTCACACTTATGACCACTGCAGTATCCCCACGTTCAATGAATCACTGCAGTTCTTAGGTCACTAACAGGGCTGTTAAGAGGATCTGGCTTCCCCCGTTGACGTGGCTTATCAGAAGAGTGCCAAATGGGATCCCATGACCTCGGGACACTGCAACCATCATAAGTACATGCCAGTTGCTAAGCTTCTGAATTATGGTCACATGACCATGGGAAATGCTGCAAGTGTGAAAAACAGCCCTAAGACACTTTTGTCCGTGCCATTGTAACTTTGAACGGTCAGTAAGCAAATGATTATAATTATAATTCCCAGCAAATCCCAGATTGCAATGACATTTCTTTTTAATATATAACAACAACAAAACAACAATAATAATAAAGTTGGAAGGGACCCTGGAGGTCATCTAGTCCAACCCCCTGCTCAGGCAGGAAACCCTATACCATTTCAGACAAATGGCTGTCCAATCTCTTTGTGAAAACTTCCAGGGTTGGAGCATTCACCACTTCTGGAGGCAGGTTGTTCCACTGGTTAATTGTTCTAACTGTCAGGAAGTTTCTCCTTAGTTCTAGGTTGCTTCTCTCCTTGATTAGTTTCCCTCCATTGCTTCTTGTCCTGCCTTCAGGCGCTTTGGAGAATAGCTTGACTCCCTCTTCTTTGTGGCAGCCCCTCAGACATTGGAAGACTGCTATCCTGTCCCCCCTCGTCCTTCTCTTCATTAAACTAGACATAACTAAACTATGCCAATTAGTGTACGTTCAAAGAGACAATAAAGTTATTATTCTATTCTATAGTCTATTTCCCCGCAGGGGTTACAGCTCCGAACTACCAAGGGCCAAGTCCAAATTGGCTCAGCATTGCTCCAATGACCCTGGCCCCTGCTCCATCCACACATGCCCTCTGCACCCTGAAGACCATGCAGGACACCCCTTCTGGATAAAGCTGGACCCACGGTGCCCTTTTAGTCAAAAACCCCACGGGCAATTCACCCCTTCTCCTCCTCTTGCAACGGGGCAGGGAACCTGCAACCTCTCCTTTATTTTATTCTTTGCAAAGTTGAGTGGGCGTCCAGCCAACCTTGGGGGTTGGGGGGGGGAACCCCAAGGACAATCTTATCCTCCTGCTTTGCCCCAATTTGCAATTCAAATCAGGAAGGGGGGGGAAAAAACCCCAGCAGGTTGGCAAGGCCGTTTTCCCAAGAAAGGTGTTCTGAGGTGAAGGGGGGGGGGGTAAGCGTATCCACAGCAGCTCGGCTTCCTGCCTTGGCAGCCGGCCAGCCAAATGATGATCAACCAATGTTGGCTGGGGGTGGGGGAGGGGATGAGCTTCCTGGCTGCTGCCCTCTGTCCCGGTGTGTAAACTTCTCCTCTGAAACCCTTTGGCTGCCCTTCAAAGGCTTCCAGGTTAGGAGAGACACCTGGAATTGCAAGGTAGGAAAATTCCCTCTCTTGGGTCCAAGACAAGAAGGGGGGGGGGGGAGAGAGAGAGAGAGAGAGAGAGAGAGAGAGAGAGAGAGAGAGAAAAGAAGAAGAAAAGAAGAAGAAAAAAGAAGAAGAAGAAGAAAAAGAAGAAGAAGAAGAAGAAAGAAGAAGAAGAAGAAGAAGAAGAAGAAGAAGAAGAAGAAGAAGAAGAAGAAGAAGAAGAAGAAGAAGAAGAAGAAGAAGGAAGAAGAAGAAGAATAAGAAGAAGAAGAAGAAGAAGAAGAAGAAGAAGAAGAAGAAGAAGAAGAAGAAGAAGAAGAAGAAGAAGAAGAAGAAGAAGAAGGAGGAGGAGGAGGAGGGGGGGGAAGGCAAAACTCCACTTACCAACTCCACCTGGGGCCCCAATCCTTCCAGGATCCGGTGAGCAGCTTCTGCTTTTTTCTGCAAATGAAAGGATGGAGAGAGAGAGAGAAATGAGTGGTGGAGAGAAAATGAAGGATTTTTTTAAAATTTATTTTGCTGCAGGAAAAGTATGGCTTGGCATGGCTTCCTCTAGACACACACACACACACACACACATGCACACAAACACACACAAACACACCCTCCACCAGCCTGCTCCAAAATCCCAGCTCCAATTTCTCTGTTGCAGGAGATGAGAAATTAAAGCGCATTTCCTTCCCTCCCCAGGGGTGGAGAAAAAGTTAAAAGCAGAGAGAGAGAGAGAGAGAGAGAGTTAGGAGGGGGGGAGGAGAAAATGCTTGTGCATGCGCACACGCTCCCCAGCCTCCAGAGAGACAGAGAAAGAGAGAGAGAGACAGAAAGAGAAAAAGAGAGAGGAGAGAAAGAGAAAGAGAGAGAGAGAAAAAGAGAGAGACAGAAAGAAAAAGAAAGAGGAGAAAGAGAAAGAAAGAGAAGAGAAAGAGAGAGAAAGAGAGGAGAGGAGAAAGAGAGAGAGAGAAAGAGAGACAGAGAGAAAGAGAAAAAGACAGAGAAAGAAAAAGAAAAAAAGAGAGAGAGAAAGAAAGAAAGAAAAAAGAGGGGGGGAGAGAGAGAGAAAGACAGAGAGAGGAGAGAGAAAGACAGAGAGAAAATGAGAGACAGAGAGAAAGAAAAAGACAGAGAAAGAAAAAGAGAAAGAGAAAGAAAAGAGAGGAGAAAGAGAAAGAGAAAAAGAGACAGAAAGAGAAACAGACAGAGAAAGAAAAAGAAAAGAAAGAGAAAGAGAAAAAGAGAGATAGAGAGAAAAAGACAGAGAAAGAAAAAGAGAAAGAGAAAGAAAAAAGAGAGAGGAGAGGAGAGGAGAAAGAGAGAGAAAGAGAAAAAGAGAGAGGGGGAGTTTGGAAGGATGGAGAAAGGGTTACTTGCTGATCGACAGGGGATCAAACACTTATTTCACTCATTAAAATGCAAATCAATTTATAACTTTTTTGAAATGCCTTTTTCTGGAATTTTGCTGTTGTTGTCGTTATTCGGTCTCTCGCCGTTAAAATAAACCTGCCATTCAAATGATAAGACTGGTCATTTCTTTGTCAGTGGTCGAACTGTACAAAAAATCAGCAGAGGATCCAAATACTTTTTTCCCTGACTGTGTTTGCACCACTCAGGTGACCCTGAAGACACAGGTGAAACCTCCAAGTGGCCTCAGAGACGCTCTAACACAACCTTGACCATTTTAAGGCATGTGGACTTCAACTCCCAGAATTCCACAGCCAGCATTGCTGGCTGTGGAATTCTGGGAGTTGAAGTCCACATGCCTTAAAATGGTCAAGGTTGAGAAACACTGCTCTAACAGGATGCAAAACACCAGCGGTCTGCAAGTCCTTCCATTCCCCACCGTCCAGTCGGAGCGGAAGAAGCTTCTTGGGTGAGAAGCGAAACGTCTTCAAAGAAAAACAAGGAAGTCCCGTTGCCTCCTGGAAAAAAAAGCCCCTTTGGGACAACCACAGGGATGCAATGTCGTCCTCCCTCCTGGATCTGGACACCCAAAGCCTGTCGAGCAGCTTAACAGCCAGAGAGGAAAAACCACATTATACTCACTCAACTATACTAACCTTGGTTTTGCAGCCCAGAATGAGAGTGGAACAGAGACTGCAAAAATGAAAGTTTGGCCCCGTGCTGAAGGGGAACGACCCACCCCTTGAGGCCACAAGGCAGAGCTCCAAAAAGGAGGAGCTTTACCTGTGGAATATTTACACAACCAGAGAACCACCCAGTGGCCGGTTCTTGCATTACCGGACTGTGTCTGCAGGCTGCAATTTTGACACCCGCGCCGACGCAACGGGGTGAGGAGGAAGAGAAAAGTAGAGCGGCAAATCTTCTGCCAGCCTGCCAGAACTGCAGGGAGACAGCTCGGAGGCCTCTGAGGGCATCTGGCTTACATTAAGCGCAACAAACCAGGATGCCCCACCTTTTCTTGCAGACGTTTCATGACCCATTCAGGTAACATCAGCAGTGATAGGAGGGAGTGGGATTTGCTGGGAGGAGGAGGAGGAGGAGGAGGAGGAGGAGGAGGAGGAGGAGGAGGAGGAGGAGGAGGAGGAGGAGGAGGACGACGACGACTGTGGGGTCCTTGGTGCACTCAGAGCTTGGCGGTTTTCTTGCAGATGTTTCATTACCTATTCAGGTAACATCATCAGTAATAGAAGTGGGATTTGCAGCAAGGAGGAGGAGGAGGAGGAGGAGGAGGAGGAAGAGGAGGAGGAGGAGAAGAAGAAGAAGAAGAAGAAGAAGAAGAAGAAGAAGAAGAAGAAGAAGAAGAAGAAGAAGAAGAAGAGGAGGAGGGGATGAGATGGTGTAGTAGGAGAAGGAGGAGAAGGAGAAGGAGAAGGAGAAGAAGAAGGAAGAGAAGAAGAGAAGGAGGAGGAGGGGAGGCAAAGAAGAAGAAGAGGAGGAGGAGAAGAAGAAGAAGAAGAAGGAATAAGAGGAGGAGGAGGGGATGAGATGGGGTAGGAGGAGAAGGAGAAGGAAGAAGAGGAGGAGGAGAAGAAGAAGAAGAAGAAGAAGAAGAAGAAGAAGAAGAAGAAGAAGAAGAAGAAGAAGAAGAAGAAGAAGAAGAAGAAGAAGAAAGAATGAAGAGAAGAAGAGAAGGAGAAGGAGAAGGAGGAGGGGAGGCAAAGAAGAAGGAGGAGAAGAAGAAGAAGGAATAAGAGGAGGAGGAGGGGATGAGATGGGGTAGGAGGAGAAGAAGAAGAAGGAGAAGGAGAAGGAGAAGAAGAAGGAGGAGGAAGAGAAGAAGAGAAGGAGGAGGAGGGGAGGCAAAGAAGAAGAAGAGGAGGAGGAGAAGAAGAAGAAGAAGGAATAAGAGGAGGAGGAGGGGATGAGATGGTGTAGGAGGAGAAGGAGAAGGAGGAGGAAGAAGAGGAGGAGAAGAAGAAGAAGAAGAAGAAGAAAGAGAATGAAGAGAAGAAGAGAAGGAGAAGGAGAAGGAGGGGAGGCAAAGAAGAAGGAGGAGAAGAAGAAGAAGAAGGAATAAGAGGAGGAGGAGGAGGGGATGAGATGGTGTAGGAGGAGAAGGAGAAGGAGGAGGAGGAAGAGGAGGAGGAGGAGGACGACGACTGTGGGGTTTTTAATGCTTTTTGAGCTTGGTTGTTTTCTTGCGGATGTTTCATTGCCCAACTAGGGAACATCATCATTGCTGCTGCTCCTGCTGCTGATCTTACCTTGTTCAGGTAATCAAACACCTGCAAGAAAGCAGCCAAGCATCCAGGACCCCCATCAGGTTCTCCCACCTGCCCACCGTCAGCTAAAACGCCCCATGTAAAAGTGGCAAATCTTTTCTCCCACGAGAAGGAAGCCAGATTAAGTTGACGGATGCTCAGCTAGTCACTGCACAGCCCGAAGGCAGGTGTGATCCCCAGCTGGAAGCTCACCTTTCACCTGCAGGTAATCACAGTGCTTGAGGTCAGCCTCGTTTGCCAGAAAACTGATGAGGCTGGACAGCATTGCCTGCCCGGCAGCAATGTTTGGAACCGCTGTCCCTCCCTCCCTCCCTCGAAAAGCTAGCTAGCTAAACGACTCAAAACAGCCTGGCCGGATCCCTGCTGGGCGCCCCTCCAGAAATCCACCCCATCCATCCCTGCTTAGCATCGATGAAGGGGGCGGCGCCTGGCCCTTCGTGTCCGCAGCCCGAGACGGCAACCTTGCTGATTTCCAGACACGCAAAAACACATACAAGTAGCCCTTGGCTCACAACCACAATTGAGCCCAAGGTAGTTAAGTGAGTTTTGCTCCATTTTACAACAGTGGGGGACGTGAATCCAGCTTTCCCCATTGACCTGGCTTGTCAGAAGTCACAAGAGGGGATCACGTGAGACAGACAGACAGACAGACACACACACACACACACACACACACACACACACACTCCGTGGATGCTGTGACCGCCATCAATACGAGTCGGTCATCGAGCACCTCAGTTTTGATCACGGGAGATGCTGCAACAGTCGTTAAGTGTGAAAAACGGTCATTAAGTCCCATTTTTCAGTGTCGTAACTTCAGTCACTAAAGGAATGGTTGTAAGTGAAGGACTATCTGTATTTCTGCAAGGATTCCTTCCCCCCACCACACACACACACACACACACACACACACACACACACACAAATGCCGGAGCTGGAGCGCAAACTGGCCACACACACGCGCGCGCACACACACACACACACACACACACACACAGCCATGTGAAAAATCACCCAGCACCATTGCACGACTGGGGAGTAAATCAGCTTTTGGCAAAAATTCCGGAGAGTTCCCATCTTATTCACCTCTTTGGGAGTCCTCAGGAAGAAGTAGTAAATACACTTATAAATCTCTGGTAAATAATAGCCTAAATCTTTATTTTTTTTCTTTCTTCCATTGAGCTAACTTATTGACTCTTCCTTCCTTCTTTTCTGTCTTCCTTCCCTTCTTTCCTCCTCTTCCTCTCGCTTCTTTCCTGTTTTCCGTCTTTCCTTCTTCTGTTCTCCCTCCCTTTCTCTCCTCCCTCCCTCCTTTCTCACTCCCTCCTTCCTGTCTCTCACCCTTCCTTCCCTCCCTCATTTTGTCCCTTCCTTCCTTCCTTCCTTCCTTCCTTCCTTCCTTCCTTCCTTCCTTCCTTCCTTCCTTCCTTCCTTCCCTCCCTTCTCTCACTCCCTTCCTGTCTCTCACCCTTCCTTTCCTTCCTTCCTTTCTTCCTTCGTTCCTTCCCTCTCATTGTCCCTTCCTTCCTTCCTTTCCTTCTTTCCTCCCTCCCTCCCATTGTTCCTTCCTTCCTTCCCTCCCTCCCTTCCTCCCATTGTCCCTTCCTTCTTTCCTTCCTTCCCTCCCTCCCTCCCTCTCATTGTCCCTTCCTTCCTTTTGCTTCCTTCCTTCCTTCCTTCCTTCCTTCCTCCCTCCCTCCCTCCCTCCCTCCCTCCCTCCCACTCCCTTCCAGCACTGATGATGTTACCTAGTTGGGTCATGAAACGTGTGGAAGAAAACCAGCAAGCTCAGAGAGCACCAAGGACCCCACATAAACAGAGAGGTTTTTCCACGGACCAGAGAGTGTGTGGTTTTGTGTGCTGCCTGCATCGCACAGATGGGGCTTTGCTTGTTTGTGTGGACCGGTTGCTGGCATGCCGCGGCCCGGTACCAGTCCACGGACCAGGGGTTGAGGACCCCAGGACTACAAGACCTCCAGGCTCCCTTGCAGTCCTCTTATTCTGTGTTCTAAATGCGAACTCTGCTTGTGTTCTCATCACCACAAATACACCACAAGCACAGCGAGAATCGTCTCCATAAGTCTCAAGAAATAGCTGTGAACGTCTGTAAAATCTATTGCAGTGGTTCTCAACCTTTTTAATGCCGCGACCCCCAACCGGTTGTAAGTCGAGGACTACTCAACCGGTCGTAAGTCGAGGACTACTCAACTGGTGCAGCACCGTTTGCAGAATGGGACTTTTGGCGGGCTCAGCAGGGCAGAGACAGCCTGGACAATTCCTATTGGCTTTGGAAAGCCCATAGAATTAGACTCTATTCAAGAGAGTCTATTCTATTGGCTTTCAAAAGCCAATAGAATAAAAGGGAGGAACGCAGCTAAGGAAAAGGGGGGGAAAATGGCGGACTGCATTGTTTGGTGACCCTCGTGAAATGGTCGTTCGACCCCCAAATGGGGTCTTGACCCACAGGTTGAGAACCACTGATCTATTGGAATGGTAGAGGGTCTCCTGCTCCAGCAGGGGGCTGGACTAGAAGACCTCCAGGGTCCCTTCCAATCCTCTTAGTCGGTGTTCCAAATGCAAACTCTGCTTGCCTTCTCATCACCGCAAACACACGACAAGCACAGCCAGAGCCTCCTCCATGAAAGATATGGGAGCATCGGTAATACCTACTGCAACGGTACAGGGTCTCCTGCTTGAGCAGGGGGTTGGACTAGACTAGAGGACCTCTAAGGTTCCCTCCAACTCTGCAAACCCCGGAGCAGACTTTGTGCCTCCGAAAACCGGCAACCTGCCTTTTAAATTGCCTCTTTCGCTCCTTCCCTTTATTTTTCTTGACACAGCAGAAGTACAGAAAAGGGAGGGGGGAAGCTGCAGAAGCCATGCTGCAGTGGCTGTCCTCGCATGAACTCGGCGGCTGCGAGCACTGGAGAGGAAAAACTGGGAGGGGAAAGAGAGAGGGAGAGGAAGAGAGGGAGGGAGAGACAGACAGACAGAGAGGGGAGAGAGAGAGAGAGAGAGAGAGAGAGAGAGAGAGAGAGAGAGAGAGAGAGAGAGAGAGAGAGAGAGAGAGAGAGAGAGAGAGAGGAAGAGAGGGAGAAAGAGACAGACAGACAGAGAGAAGGGGAGAAAGAGGGGGAGGGAGGGAAAGAGGAAGAGAGTGAGAGAGGGAGAAAGGGAGAGAGGGAGGGAGGGGGAGAGAGACAGAGAGAGGGGGGGAAGGAGAGATGGGGAGAAAGAAGAGAGACAGAGAGAGAGGGAGAAAGAGGGAGAAAGGGAGAGAGGGGGAGAAAGAGAGAGACAGAGGGAGGGGGAGAAAGGAGACACAGAGAGAGAGAGAAACAGAGGGAGAGAGAGAGGGAGGGGGAGAAAGAAGAGAGAGAGAAAGAGGGAGAAAGGAAGAGAGGGAGGGAAGGGAGAAAGAAAGAGACAGAGAGAGAAAGAGAGGGAGAGAGGGAGAGAGGAGGAGAAAGAAGAGAGAGAGAGAAAGAGAGGGAGAAAGGAAGAGAGGGAGGGAAGGGAGAAAGAAAGAGAGACAGAGAGAGGGAGAGAGGGAGAGAGGAGGAGAAAGAAGAGAGAGAGAGAAAGAGAGGGAGAAAGGAAGAGGGGGAGGGAAGGGAGAAAGAAGAGAGAGAGACAGAGAGAGAGGAAGAGAGGGAGAAAGAGAGAGAGGGAGGGGAGAAAGAAAGAGAGAGAGAGAGAGACAGAGAGAGAGAGAGAGAGTGAGAGAGAGAGAGAGGAGCACCAGCAGCAGGAGAAGGATGAGGTCAACTCCCAAAAAAGGAAGTTGACAGGCGTTTTCTCCGAGGCAGGCGAGTGACCGAGAACAGGAACAAATGCAGCGCTTCGGGGACGGATGAAAAATAAACCCGCTGGCCCTTGCCAGGTTCATTTTGCAATGCCGAAGAACACATGTACAGAATACAGAATAAGAGAGCTGGAAGGGACCTTGGAGGTCATCTAGTCCAACCCCCTGCTCGGGCAGGAAACCCTACACCATTTCGGACAAATGGCTGTCCAGTCTCTTCTTAAAAACTTCCAGTGTTGGAGCATTCACCACTTCTGGAGGCAGGTTGTTCCACTGGTTAATTGTTCTCACTGTCAGGAAGTTTCTCCTTAGTTCTAGATTGCTTCTATCCTTGATTAGTTTCCATCCGTTGCTTCTTGTCCTGCCTTCAGGCGCTTTGGAGACTAGCTTGACTCCCTCTTCTTTGGGGCAGCCCCTGAGATACTGGAAGACTGCTATCATGTCCCCCCTTGTCCTTCTCTTCGTTAAACTAGACATGCCCAATTCCAGCAACCGTTCCTTATATGTTTTAGCCTCCAGTCCCCTGATCATCTTTGTTGCTCTTCTCTGCACTCTTTCTAGAGTCTCAGCATCTTTTTTATATTGTTGCGATGTGATGCATGGAAGACAAGCACCATGTTCAACTGGGGCTCGGAGGCGAGTCTGCAAATCTGCAGAGCTGTTGTTTGTCAGGACCGCAAATCCCACACTGGGGGGGGGGGGTCTGTGGAGATTCTCAGTCATCCCGGTCCTGGTTGTCCCAAAGATGCTTTTTCAAGAGGCCACTGAACTTGGTTTTTTCCCTTGAAGACGTTCTGCTTCTCACCCAAGAGGCTTCTTCAGTTCTAACTGAAGAATCCTGCATTCCCCACCTTTCGGTTAGAACGGAAGAAGCTTCCTAGAGGAGAAGTGAAACGTCTTCAAGGAAAAGCCCATTAAGTCCAGCTGCCTCTTGAAAAAACACCTTTGGGACAACCACACTGTTGGGGGTGGGGGGACCGTTTGGATCCTCTTCAGACAACCACTTGGCTAGGTCTTCAGGGAAGGGAATAGGATCCAGGCACTCTTGAGAGCACATAATCGACCCCAACCCAAGTCAACGAGCGAGTCGCCATTTTTTCAGGTACCCCAGTTATTCTCCCAGGGTGGGGAGGGGGTCTCTGACATGCCCTCCATCATGGGAACAAAGCCACGTGTTTAAAGACTCTGGAATACCCCAGTTAAGAGTCAACAAGGGCTTCCCTTTCCAGTCTCTCAGGATCCCACTGATGGGGGGAGGAGGTGCAAAGTCCCAACAGTGGGAAGGAAAAACCGCCGAAGGGACGGATTTTCACTCCCTGAGCAATAGTTTGGACAGCCCCACAAAGGAAAGGGATATGAAAATAATTTGTGTAAGGTTATTTCCCTCTCTCTGTGTCCATCTTTATCTTTCTCTCTCTCCATCCATCTCTCCCTCTTTCCATCTCCATCCAACTGCCTGTCCGTCTTCTGTCCATCTTTCCATCCCTCCATCCATTTCTCCATCCTTTTCCTCCCTTCCTCTCCTTCTCCCTCGCTCCATCCATCCATCCATCCATCCATCCATCCATCCTATCCTGTTCCTCCATACATCCATACACCCATACATCCTATTCCTCCCTCCCTCTCCCTCGCTCCATCATCCATCCTATCCCTCCATCCTGTTCCTCCATACATACATCCTATTCCTCCCTCCCTCCCTCTCACTCGCTCCATCCATCCTGTACCTCCCTCCATCCATCCCTCCATCCTATTCCTCCCTCCCTTTCCCTCTCCCTCGCTCCATCCATCCATTCTATCCCTCCATCCTGTTCCTCCCTCTCTCCCACTCCATCCATCCTATCCCTCCATCCTGTTCCTCCCTCCCTCCATCCATCCAATTCCTCCCTCCCTCTCCCTCCATCTTATCCCTCCATCCTGTTCCTCCCTCCATCCATACTATTCCTCAATCCATCCATCCATCCACTTCTCCATTCGTCCATTTCTCCATCCAATCCCTCCCTCTTCCCTCCTTCCACCCAATCCCTCCCTCCCTTCATCCATCCATCCATCCATCTATACAGCCTATCCCTCCTTCCTTCCTTCCATCCACCCATCCTAGCTCTCCCTCCCTCCCTCCCATCCGCCCACCCATCCATCCATTTCTCCATCCATCCCGTCCCTCCCTCTTCTCCTGGCCAGGGCCTCCCAGAGACCAAAGTCGGCTCCAAGCTTTCACCAGAAACGAGGTGCCGCTATCCAAACTGTAAACCCAGCGGAAAAGATGGCTCCGGAGCCGCGCTCACCCGAGTCTCATCGTAGATGATCTGGACCAGGCTGCGGTGCTTCGACTCCAGCGGTGGGGGAGAGATGGATTTCTCAGGCTCCAGAGGTTTGGCTGCTTCTTCCTCCAGCTGTTGCTGCAGAAGAAGAGGAAGAGGAGAAATCAAAAATGAGGAAGGCCAGCACTCTCTCAGATGCTCTATTTTTTCTATCCTGCTCTATGGAGTAGAGCAGTGGTGGCAAACCGGCGGCACGCGTGCCAGAGGCGGCACTCGGAGCCCTCTCTGTGGGCACGCGCGCCGTCGCCCCAGTCCTAGGCCTTCAGCTGGGTTTTATAAAACCTTTTCGCTTTAGGCCTCCGCCGCCATGTGCAAAAAGAAAAGGTTCAATCAATCAGTCGATTTCAACTTTTCACCGGGGAAAAAAAGATCTTGCAAAGTTGGAATTGATTGATTGAACTTTTGAGTCCCACCCAGTCTGCTGTTACCACCGCAGCCATGCCCACCCAATGGGCCACACCCACCCAATGGGCCACACTCACCCAATGGGCCACACCCACCCAATGGGCCACACCCACCCGGCACCCGACGATGCATAAGTGGGTTTTTGGGTTGCAGTTTGGGCACTCGGTCTCTAAAAGGTTCGCCATCACTGGAGTAGAAGGTCACCTGACAGGAAGCCACCTGAAGAGACTAGATCAGTGGTTCTCAACCTTTTTAATGCCGCGACCCCCCCAACCGGTCGTAAGTCGAGGACTACTCAACCGGTCGTAAGTCAAGGACTACTCAACTGGTGCAGCACCGTTGGCAGAAGGGGACTTTTGGCGGGCTCAGCAGGGCAGAGACAGCCTGGACAATTCCTATTGGCTTTGGAAAGCCAATAGAATTAGACTCTATTCAAGAGAGTCTATTCTGTTGGCTTTCAAAAGCCAATAGAAGAAAAGGGAGTCACACAGCTAAGGAAAAGGGGGGGAAAAATGGCGGACTGCATTGTTTGGCGACCCCCGTGAAATGGTCGTTCGACCCCAAATGGGGTCCCGACCCACAGGTTGAGAACCACTGGACTAGAAACATCTGAAATGTGGATTTACAGATGGCTGTTACGTAGAAGCTGGGTTGACAAGATCAGAAATGAGGAGGGGATCAGCCGCCTGGGAAAGCCAAGGGAAATCATCAACACAATTAAAAAACGAAAGTTAGAATATTTCGGACCTGTGATGCGACACCCAGAAAACTACGCCATGCTCCATTTAATCCTCCAGGGAAAGATGGAAGACAAACGAGGTCCAGGCAGAAGAAGAACATCGTGGCTTCAAAATCTAAGGGACTGGTTTGGACAAAACTCAGCCGCACTTTTTCGCGCGGCTGCTGATTAAAAACGGGATCGTCAACATGATCGCCAACGTCCGATAACGGATATGGCAGAAGAAGAAGCAGCACTCTCTCAAATGCCTGAGTTGCCCATACAGGTAGTGCTGGACTTAACACCTGTTCATTTCAGGTTGGTTCCAAGTTACGACAGCCTTGGAAAAAGGGACTTACAACCCACCCAGGTTCCATCACACACACACACACACACACACACACACACACACACACACACACACACACACACACACCTTTATAACTGGCGACTTTTCCTGGCTGACTTCCTCCAGGCAAAGTTCTCAATTGGAAAAGACGCCAGTAAAAATGATCATAAAAACCGGAGCCGGTCATGTGACAACTCACTTAACAGCCAAAATTCTAGTCCTAATTCGAGGACCAACTGTATATGTGTATCTGTATGCTGCGGTCGAAGAGATCAACTCCGACTGCTCTTTAGAAAGCCAGATCCTGAAATTGAAACTCAAATATTTTGGCCACCTAATGAGAAGGAAGGACTCACTGCAGAAGGGCCCAATGCTGGGAAAGATGGAGGGCAAGAGAAGAAGGGGACGACAGAGAATGAGGTGGCTGGATGGAGTCACTGAAGCAGGAGGCGTGAGCGTCAATGGAATCCAGAAGATGGTAGAGGACAGGAAGGCCTGGAGGAACGTTGTCCATGGGGTTGCGATGGGTCGGACACGACTTGAGGCCTTTGAACTATGGTGCTGGAGAAGACTCCTGTGAGTCCCTTGGACTGCTCCTTAGAAGGCCAGATCCTGAAGTTGAAACTCAAGGACTTTGGCCACCTAATGAGAAGGAAGGACTCACTGCAGAAGGGCCCGATGCTGGGAAAGATGGAGGGCAAGAGAAGAAGGGGACAACGGAGAAGGAGGTGGCTGGATAGAGTCATTGAAGCAGGAAGCGTGAGCTTAAAGGGACTCCAGAAGATGGTAGAGGACAGGAAGGCCTGGAGGAACGTTGTCCATGGGGTCACGATGGGTCGGACACGACTTCGCAATTAACAAAAACAACAACATGCTGTGGTCATTCAGCCCAATCTTGGGAAAAATCTTAGGTTTTGTTGACTGATGCTCCTGAGTCTCTAAAAGCGGATTTGTCTCCTTGCCACACCCTCCTGCGTCATGCGCTGAGGGCCCCAGGTCCTACCTGGCCAAAGGAAGTGATCTAGTCACACCTAGAACCCAATCAAAATGGATTCATCTCTCTGACCGGCTCCACTTTTGACCTTCTCGGGTTGAAATCAGGATGGAAAAAGTCTCCACCGATTTCTGTAAATGTCGGCTGAGGGGTGGCGGGGGGGCTCGTTACCTGCTTTTTTCTCAACTTGGAAATCTGCTGTTCCACCATGGTGATCTCCCGGTCCACACGGTCCATGTTCTGGATCAGCTCCTCTTTCGAGAGCCGGGACGGGAGTAAATCCAGTTCCGAGTCAGGATGGGCAGAGGTAATGGGTGAAACGGGCTCCAGTTTACCGGGGATGCCTCGATCCTACAAATGGAAAAGGGGAACGGAAGCTAAATGAGAAGAAAGGTGTTTCTCACCTATCTAGGACACCTCGGGGAAAATGCACGGGAACACCCAAAGCTTCCGTTGTCTGAATGCAGCCAAGGCATCTCCTTTGGGCCTATTGACTTTGGCCACTGTCCTTCCCTCCTCACCCGCCTTCTTTCTCCAGATGACTCCATCTGTAACCTTAAACCAGGGAGAAGCGGCCTGGCTGGCCCTCACGACATCTGCTTCCCACCAGGAGACCTCATCCAAGTTGGCCATCTCTACTTCTAAGGAGTGGGGAGGGAGACAAGACCTTCATTGTTCCATAACAGCAACTGTCACTCCCTCTGTGTCCTCCAGAAGGATCCCCCACCTTTATCCTCTCCTCACAACACAACTTCCTCTCTTTAGACAGCTGGCTGGGGTGGGGTGAGGAGGGGGATGGTTGTCTTCTTTGAAGGCCCCAAGCCTCTTCATCATTTTGGCAGGTCTCTGAACATCTCCGATGACCTATTCACCCCCCCCCCTTTCAACTCCAACGGCAGAAGATTTAGCTATCTCAGCTTCTTCCCAACTGGAAGCACAACCAGCCACTAACTCAGACAACCCATCCAACAGTAAACAAAGCTCTCCCAAGGAACCACCAGGAATACTCCCAACACGGACAGGGCAAACCATACATAAACAGAGAGCAAACCCCACCAGCTTCTAGCGCTGATGATGTTACCTAGTTGGGTCACGAGGTTCCACAAGAAAACAACCAAGCTCAGAGAGCATCAAGAACTTCAGTCCTCCTCCTCCTCCTCTCCACAAACCCCACACCCTCCTAGCGCTGATGATGTTACCTAGTTGGGTCATGAAACGTCTGCAAGAAAACCACCAAGATCAGAGACCACCAAGGACCCCACAGTCCTTCTCCTCTTCCTCTTCTACTCCATAAATCCCACACCCTCCTAGCTCTGATGATGTTACCTAGTTGGGTCATGAAACGTCTGCAAGAAAACCACTGAGCTCAGAGAACACCAAGGACCCCCCCAGTCATTGTCATCCTCTTCCTCCTCCTCCCTCTCCTCCCCCCCATCTCCTTCTCCTCCTCTCCACAAACCCCACTCCCTCCTAGCGCTGATGATGTTACCTAGTTGGGTCATGAAACGTCTGCAAGAAAACCACCAAGATCAGAGACCACCAAGGACCCCACAGTCCTTCTCCTCTTCCTCTTCTATTCCATAAATCCCACACCCTCCTAGCTCTGATGATGTTACCTAGTTGGGTCATGAAACGTCTGCAAGAAAACCACCGAGCTCAGAGAACACCAAGGACCCCACAGTTCAACCCTGAGCTTCAATCGTTCTCTTCTCTCAGACTTATGACTATAACGGGTGGCCACCATTACTGTCGTAATTCGAGGACTGCCTGTCCACCCTTCTCTTCCCAGCCTACCCTGGAGAAGCCGTCTGTTCCTGCCTGGCTGAGCAGAGTCGGAGGCCTCAGCAGCGGCTCCTGTAACAGCTCCATCCGAGGCCTCTTGGTCTCCATAAACTCCATTTCCGAGGATTTGCTCAGATCAGAGAGATACGGATGGGACTCCGTCCGAGCGTGCGTCTCTTGTGATCTGCAAGGGAGAGAAAAAAAAAGATCCAGGGTCACCAATCCGATCCATTTTAAATATTATTCTTTTTTTTTTAGGCTGTTCCTACCAAGAAAATCCACAAGGCCGCCTTTAATCTTAAAGAAAGCTTCAAACAAACAAACAAACAAACAAACAAAAAATCTCCAAAGTCAAACGAAAAGAAAATTTTAAGAAAAAAAAAATGCCTGGTGTTTTGCACTCCTCAGTAATGGCTGGATAGATGGATAGATTATATTCAGAATAAATATGGGACTAAAAAGTTCCATCTAGTTTATTGAGTAAATGTTAGAGTATTATTATTATGAATAGTTTATTATAGTAGAATTTTTATTAGTTTTATTATTATTTTTAGTAGTAGTATTGTTAACAATTTGGATATTGTATTGTTTAATAATATTGATTTGTTTATATTATGATGTTTATTTTTAATTTGTTTTACCCATGTTAAAGGGGAGTTAAAGCGCATTATGGACTTGGTTATTTATATAGTTGGTTAATGTTAGTTAGAGTTTGATTATTATATTTGTAACCCTGTACTCAGCTCTGGGAAGTGGGGGAGGGAGGGGGGTTTAGGGTGGGTGGGTTTGGGGGTGTATACTGTATTTTTTATAAAACTTTTCAATTAAAAAAAAATGGCTGGGCTCCCAGAAGAATCCACCGTCGTGGCAAGAGCAGTGCAAAATATTATTATTATTATTATTATTATTATTATTATTATTATTATTATTATTAATTTTTATTTTTAACCAACAAGACAAAAAAGAACAAAGCAAAACATAAACACACATACACACACAATATATACTTCTCCTTTGTTTTACAGCAATTACGAGACGGTAATCTAATATTTACATTTCCCCCCTTATTCTTCTTTAGAATATTTGTCCTTATAGCCCCATTATTTCTTATTTACATTTTTCTTCCTTCGTGTTCTACTTCTTACTAAGAATAATTCATATTATTATTATTATACATTATTATACACATATTTTCACTTTTGACCTTTCCATATTTATTCTCCTCTATTATTTCTAGTCTCCAACCAGATATACCACTTGTTCCATACTATATAATACTCTGTGTCTTCCTTTTCTTTTATCTCTTTTGTTAATTTGTCCATCTCAGCACAGTCCAGAATTTTTCTTATTACTTCTTCCTCTGAGGTATATTCTCATTTTTCCAGCTCAGTGCAAAATATTATTGTTAGGACGTCACAAACTCTGCGGTACAGACAGTCCTCAAATTACAACTCTAAGGGAGACTGGCGGTTGCAACCGTCAATCGTGAGGGTCGTAAAGCGGGTCGTCACGTGACCCATTCTATGACCCTTTTTTTAACAGTGGTTGTTAAAGAGAGCCTGGCCGTTGTGAGGCCAACCCTACGGTGGCTGAGACAACACAATGGTCCAATCTGGAGTAAACCACCCTTTGGAGCAAAATTGTTGTAACTGCAGCCACGTGAGCTGTTGTTCAGCACACAAAGTATGGTCCCCTGTCCAAGGGGGTGCTGGTGTATGGTTGTGTTGTGTGTGTGTGTGTGTGTGTGTGTGTGTCACAAGTTCCAAACTCGGTCATAAATACCTTTTGGGAGGAAAATCTGTTGGAACCTGTCCCATCTTTTTCATCTTACCTTTCATTTCCTGGCTGAAATTCGGATAACAAGGAGGGCCTCCGACGTTGGGGGTTTAAGAGAGACCCCGGGGGCAGGTGGGAAGGGTATTCCCGAGGAGGGTGTTGATATTCCAAGAGACTCACATCCTGAAACAAGACGACACAAAACCAAGAATAAGCCTTCAGGATGAAATCCTATAGCAGTGGTTCTCAACCTGTGGGTCGGGACCCCATTTGGGGTCGAATGATCATTTCACGGGGGTCGCCAAACAAGGCTGTCCGCCATTTTTTCCCCCTTTTCTTTGGCCACGCCCTTGGCACCTGGTGATGTATAAGTGGTTGGGGGTCACCATAACATGGGGAACTGTATTATGGGGTCGCGGCATTAGAAAGGTTTATTTATTTATGAGACTTATATACCACTTTAAATGCAAGCACTCTCTAAGCGGTGTACACCAGTAAGCAACGTATATATATATTTACATTGCCCCCAACAATCTGGGTCCTCATTTTACCTACCCCGGAAGGATGGAAGGCTGAGTCAACCTTGAGCCGGTGAGATTTGAACCGCTGACCTGCTGAACACAGTCAGCTAAAGTGGCCTGCAGTACTGCACTCTTAACTGCTGCGCCACCTGTCCTATAGAGCAGTGATGGTGACCGAGTGCCCAAAAACCGCCCCACCACAAGCCCGCGGGACCACCCACCGCCTCCACAGCCCGCCGCAGACCACCCAGTCGGTCCAGCAGCACTATAGCAGCCACTCCCTCCACCCGCAGCCCGCCGCATCAACTGCGCGTGACCGGTGCGAGGGTGAAGTCTTGTCACCACTGCTCGGCTGCCATGTCCTTGGCTGCGCTGCTCCACGTGGGCTGCGCTCGCGGGTGACTCTCCTCTGGGGGGTGGCTGCTGGGGTGGGGGTCTGCGGGGGGAGGCGGGTCTGGTGCAATGGCCCACGTGCCCACAGAGAGGCCTCTGAGTGCCGCCTCCGGCACGCGTGCCATAGATTCGCTACCACTGCTATAGAGGCAGCCCTGGACTTCCAACAGTTCGTTTAGTGACCGTTACACAACGTTACACAACGTTACTGGAAAGAAGTGACCTAGGATCATTTTTCACTCTTAGGACTGTTGCAGCCTCCACCCCGGTCAGGTGATTTACATTCAGATGCTTGGCCACTGACTCATTTTTATGACCGTCGCTGCGTCCCGGGGGGTGACGTGATCAAAATTTACACACTGACTCGTCTTTATGACGGTCGCAGCGTCCCAGAGTTACGTGATCCCCTTTTGCGACCGTCTGACCAGCAAAGTCAATGGGGAAGCCAGGTTCACTTGACAATTATGTTGCTAACTTAACAACTGCAGGGATTCAGTGAACGACTGCGGCAAGAAAAGTCATAAAACGAGGCAAAACATAACAAATGCCTCACTTAGCGCCATAAATGTGGGGCTGCATTGTGGTCAAAAGTCGAGGGCTACCTGTAGCTACAGCAGAGTCTTACGCATCTTCTTGCAACGGCTGACATTAAAGGCAGTCCTCGACTTACAGTCAAAACCCGTTGTAACTTGAGGACCACCTGGGGCAGGTTCTCCAGATCTTGCTGAGCCCAAAGATGGCTTCTGTCACTGTAAGGATGGCCCTGGGCACTTCGTAAGACCTGCCAATCCTCATGAGCACATCTGATCCTCTTGGCTCAGGAGGAAACATTTATTTAGAATAGAATAACAGAGTTGGAAGGGACCTTGTGGGTCATCTAGTCCAACCCCACACTCAGGCAGGGGACCCTACACCAGGGGTTGGCAACCTTGGCTCTTTTATGACTTGTGGACTTCAACTCCCAGAATCCCTGAGCCAGCCTGGCTCAGCTTGGAAACCTCTCTCTTTCCCCTCAGCGTGGCTGGCTCAGGAATTCTGGGAGTTGAAGTCCATGAGTCATAAAAGAGCCAAGGTTGCCTACACCCTTTCTGACAGATGGCAGTCCAGTCTCTTCTTGAAAACCTCCAGTGATGAAGTTCCCACAACTTCTGAAGGCAACTTCTGTTCCACTGGTTGATTGTCCTCACTGTTAGGAAGTTTCTCCTGAATTCCAGGATGCTTCTCTCCTTGATTGGTTTCCATCCGTTGCTTCTTGTCCTGCCTTCGGGTGCTTTGGAGAATAGCTTGACCCCCTCCTCTCCGTGACAGCCCCTCAAACACTGGAACACTGCTAGCATATTGCCTCTGGTCCTTTGGATTAAATCCATTTAACCAAATAACATAATAGCAGAGCTGGAAGGGACCTTGGAGGTCTTCTAGTCCAACCCTCTGCTCAAGCAGCCCCTATACCAATTCAAGCAAATGGTTGTCCAATCGTGTCTTTAAAACTTCTTATGATGGAGCATCCACAACTTCTGGAGGAAAGAGGTTCCACTGGTTAACTGTTCTAACTGTCGGGAAATTCCTTCTTAGTTCTAGGTTGCTTCTCTCCTTGATTAGTTTCCATCCGTTGCTTCTTGTCCTGCCTTCAGGGGCTTTGGAAAATAGGTTGACCCCCTCCTCTCCGTGACAGCCCCTCAAACACTGGAAGACTGCTATCATATTGCCTCTAGTCCTTTGGATTAAATCCATTTAACCAAATGACATAATAGCAGAGCTGGAAGGGACCTTGGAGGTCTTCTAGTCCAGGGATCACCAATCCCTGGTTTGTGGACCGATATCGGGCCGTGACATGCCAGCAACCGGTCCGCACAAACAAGGAAAGCCCCATCCATGGGATGCAGGCAACACACAAAACCACACATGGAAAACCTCTCTCCATGGAGAGAAGGTTGGGGGCCACTGCCCTATATCACTCATCCTTGATCTTCTGCCCTGGCTTTTAGGTTCTTCTGGGAAAACAAAGCAGGCCAGAATATTTAACCCCCAGCCCACTTGTTCCCCAAACTCTTCTCCTTCCACAAGGCCAGAACTGGAAACCAAGGCGTTGGGTTTTCTGTAACCTCCTGACTGAGCCTCTCCGCAGAAGCTTAGAGTGATGCAACGAGAAAGGAACCCCACAATTTGAGGAAACATCTTCACGTTAGCGCCATGGGAAAGTCTGGAGAACTTGGTGGTGCACACTGAAGGCTCCAAAATGTGTAACATTTCGAGGTCAAAAGTACTCAGAAAAAAAAAGGAGAAGTAAGGAAAAAACCCCTTGTCAACCACCCAACTTCCTCAAAATTAACGGTCATCTTTAGAGTCAAAACCACATCGACTGTACCAGAATATTCTCTAGAAATTAACATCTTGGTTAAGATTTCCTTCCGGATCTTTCTTTTTTAGCTTGGTTATCCCTGTTCTGCCTTCATTTCAAGGCACTATGTTTACATCTGGACCTCCTCCCCACCCCTAGATTCCCACTGGGCCTGACCTCCAGGTCTGGATTTGAACTTGAGGTCCAACCCCAGGTTGCTTTAACTACACTGCCCGACAGAAACTAAACATCTTGCAAAACATGTGACGTCCCACTTCATGGCTGACTAAGCCACCAAGGGCTGGATTCACTCAATGTGCTAAACTAGATCAAGATGTTGAGACTCTAGAAAGAGTGCAGAGAAGAGCAACAAAGATGATTAGGGGACTGGAGGCCAAAGCATATAAGGAAAGGCTGCTGGAATTGGGTATGTCTAGTTTAATGAAGAGAAGGAGGAGGGGGGACATGGTAGCAGTCTTCCAATATCTCAGGGGCTGCCCCAAAGAAGAGGGAGTCAAGCTATTCTCCAAAGCGCCTGAAGGCAGGACAAGAAGCAACAGATGGAAACTAACCAAGGAGAGAAGCAACCTGGAACTAAGGAGAAACTTCCTGACAGTTAGAACAATTAACCAGTGGAACAGCCTGCCTCCAGAAGCGGTGAATGCCCCAACACTGGAAGTTTTTAAGAAGAGACTGGACACCATTTGTCCAAAATGGTGTAGGGTCTCCTGCTTGAGCAGGGGGTTGGACTAGATGACCTCCTTTTGTTAAAAAATTCATATCTCCCTTCTTCTACATCGGGGGGGGAGGGTCTCCAAACTTGGCAACTCTAAGACTTGTGGTGTCCCAGAATCCCCTAGCCCGCAAGGGGAACATCACCAGGATATATAGCTGGTAGAGGGATTCTGGGAGTTGAAGTCCACAAGTTTTTCAAGCTGACAAATTTGGAAGAGTCCCATTGTAGATAAAAGGCCCCACTTCGTTGAATTTCGACAGTTCAGAAGGCTGCCAGCTGTTTCAAGGGCCACGAAACTGAACAGGGAAATTCCAAGCAAGGTTGAGGAAATGGGGGGAAGAGGGTGGATCTACGCTGCTGCCGATAAATCAATACAATTAACAGCCAAATTCCCAGAAGAAAAAAAAGAAGTTACTGGAGGCGGTGAACGTTTAGAATTGTTTTCCCATCAAACTTTGGAGATGTGATCACTCTCCTCCATCATTCTTCCACTTCTGAGCTCGCTGTCGTTATCCCCACTTTCAGTGTTACAAGCTGTTTTTGGAGTTCAGAGAGCGCTTAAGTTTGTGGGTTAACCTTATTTCCTTGTCCCTTTTCTCTTCCGACTCTGGGCCTTTTATTAATTTTTTTTTTATCTTATAATCCCGCCGGGAGTCAGAATTATTCAAATTCTAATAATAATACCTGGCACATTGCCTCTAAGATTCTTAAGTTCCAGTGATAAGATTGCTTCTTTTTTTTTCTTTTTTTCCTTTATTGAGCTCAGGGGGCTATTTTGGGCACGTCTGACATAACAATGGGCTCTTTTTGATGTCTCTTTCTCTGCTCCCACTTGCACACACTCACACACACCAAAAAAAAAAAAGTCTTTCGCTTTAGAGCTAGAAAGCAAAGCAAGGAAACAAACATCCAGTTGAGAGCGATGAGGAAGGAAGGTGCAAGCACGCCCCCAGATGAGCAGATGAGCGTCAGTAATTATGGTTTATTTGATGCAGACTTTCTGCCTGCAAGGAGACAGTCTCTTTTGTGTGTGTGTGTGTGTGTGTGTGTGTGTGTGTGTGTGTGTGTGTGAAACCTCTTAAGTGCATTTCCGTTTCCTGGCTGTCTCTGCTCTCACTTGCAAGAGAGAGTTGCAAGATTTGAAAGAAATCTGATGTCAAATCAGCTGAGATGGGCTTTGGTGGCAAATGCAAGAATAATAGACCTTGTCCTTGTCAAGACTTCACAACTTCTAAAAGGCACATGGGGAGGGGTTTAGATCAGGGGGTCCCTACGCCCCGGGCCATGAATTCACTAATGGGCCTTGAAACTTTTGGAACCGGGCCACAGAAGTAGTGGACGACCGTGCATGTGCATCCTTACTCGTGCGAGCAGCGGATGAGCACATCCATTTGCATGAGAAGTGGGTTCGTGTGCCCGCTGCTCATCGGGCAAACGGAGCTGCGCACCTATACGCCCTTGTCCGCTGCGCACGTGGAACCAGCCCCTCTCTCCCCACCTCCACTGGTCCGTAAAGCCAAAAAGGTTGGGAAACTGGTCTAGATAATTCACCAAGGCTGACTCGTCCAAGCAAAACTTGGCACAGCCAACCAACACATTGCGGGACAACTCAACAGGGCCAACTCACGGCAGGACAAGCAACACATTAATATCGAAGAAATGGTGGCATAGGACCATTAAAGAAAGGATGCCGAAGGAGGGACAGAATGAAAAGAGAATGACAAAAATTAAAATAATTTTTCTTTATTTGTAAATAAATACTGTCAACGTTGCAAATATTGTATATTCTTGCTTTTGACAATATGCAGAATTGTCTGGTAAATATGGGGTTAATAAAGAGCAGAAGGGGTGTGGGGGGTAAAGCCCAGGAAAGAAAGAGGAAGAAAACATTTGACCTTCACACTAATTGGATAATGTGAGATATGATGGCTAATTTAGGGAGGGAACATGCTAATAATTTAACTGCTCAGAGGAAGAGAACTTAGATCCTAGCATCCCTCCCTTGTGCCTGTGCCGACATTTTGTAACAATAAAAGACTTTTAGGAAAATAAATGCCTGGAAGTTCTTTGAAGTGTTTCATTAGCCAGAACCACAACAAATACCTTTTAAATAAAAAATATTAAATTTTATTTATTTATTTTATATCTTATTTATATTTAAACTGAATTATTGAACTGTCCTGTGGTGAGTTTCTCTCTAAGACCTCGGAAGGATGGGTTAACTTTGAGCTGGTCTGGAAGGAAGGAAGGAAGGAAGGAAGGAAGGAAGGGAGGGAGGGAGGGAGGGAGGGAGGGAGGGAGGGAGGAAGGAAGGAAGGAAGGAAGGAAGGAAGGAGGAAGGAAGGAAGGAAGGAAGGAAGGAAGGAAGGAAGGAAGGAAGGAAGGAAGCCCTTAGACTTATATCCCGCTTCACAGTGCTTTACAGCCCTCTCTAAGCGGTTTACAGAACCAGCCTGTTGCCCCCCCAACAATCGGGGTCCTCATTTTACCTCCGAAGGATGGAAGGCTGAGTCAACCTTGAGCTGGTCAGGATCGGACTCCAGGCTGTGGGCAGAGTCGGCTTGCAATGCTGCACTCTAACCCCTGTACCACCAGGGCTCCTAAAGCCAGGTTTCTGAGTGAATCACTGCAGTCGTTAAGTGAAATCACACAGTCACTGAGCCAATCTGGCTTCCCCCCATCGGCTTGGCTTGTCGGAAGCTGGCTGGGAAGGTCGCAAATGGCGAATCCGTGGCCCCGGGTTGCTGCCACCATTGGTAAAACCACCCTGGTTGCCAAGCACCACAAATTCGCACCAGATGATCGTCCCCTTTGCAAAGCCCGCCCCAAGGCTCTAGTCCTCATGACCCAGAAAGCCCACTCTGAGAGAGGACACTCACCACATGAGGCTGATTTAACGCCACGGGGTAGGACATGGCGTGGGAAGGGTAGTGGGTCTCTGCTGCCCGCCAGGTCTGGGCTGCCGGTTGCGTAGATCCAGCCATTGCCAAAAAGGGGGGGGGGTCAGTCTTCTTTGGGAGATCCCTCCTAAGAATCAGCGATGTGATGCACTAAGGAATCCCCGAATTCGGGCCCATGATGCTCGCCCAAGCCATGTCACGTTGTGCCTGTAAGGGAAACAAAGGCAGGCCAGATTAGAGTCCCGTTGAAAAAAAACAAGGGGTCAGTTTGAGACAATTAAATGGGTGGGCACCTCCCTCCCATAACGGAGTCCCAGCTTTAATTCTGTATATTTCTTATATTTTTTTATGCTTTTTAATGTATTTTTTTCTAGTTAAAACTGTTTTTAATCTTCAAAACAAGAAGGAAAATGACATGAAAAACAACCAAGCAGCATTTAAAAAAATTCACTACAGCAAACATTCTACAACGTAAATGTTTCTTCATTAACAATATTGTGCACGGCGTTTCACATTTGTAACGTTTGATCAGAGTATAGAATAAAATACAAAAACACAAAAATACCAAAGCAAAGATAAGATAAGAAGAAGATGAGATGAGATAAATAAGAAGATAAGATAAGATAAGATATAAGATATAAGATAAGATAAGATATAAGATAAGGTATAAGGTGTAAGGTGTAAGGTGTAAGGTATAAGGTATAAGGTATAAGGTATAAGGTATAAGGTATAAGGTATAAGGTAAGTTAAGGTGATAAGATAAGATAAGATAAGATAAGATAAGATAAGATAAGATAAGATAAGATAACCTTTATTGTCACTTTCTTACTGTGGGCACAACAGCACACATCAAAAATAAAATTTAGTTGCCCGCTCTCAAAGTGAAACACACACATGGCACACACCTAAACATACTATGTACAACATATGTATAGTGTCAACGCTGCAAATACTATATATTCTTGCTTTGACAATATGCAGAACTGTCTGGTATTTTTGGGGTTAATACAGAGCTTAGAGGGTGGGGGTAAAGCCCGGGAAAGAAAGAGGAAGCAAAAACCTTTGACCTTCACACTAAGTTTTATTTTTTTTTCCCACCTTAAACCCAAAGTCCAGAAGCAGTCTCCAAAACTGGAAACAGAAGTTTACTTATATTCTATTCTTCAATCAAAACGGTCAATTTAGCCGTCTCTGCCAACCCTATCATCCATAGTGAGAATCGAAATGTCCTTCCATTTTGGTGCATTACAATAAATACGTCTTGCTGCCGTCAACATATGTAAGATCAGAGTTCCAATTTTTTTTTCCCACCAAGTCTTTTTCCATTTTAAGCCCATAAGAAAAGTTTCTGGTGTTATTCTTTACTTTTAAGAATGTTCTGCATTAGGGCATGAATCCTAGTCCGATAGGTCTATGCTTTATTGCACGTCCACCATAAATGATAAAGGGTGGGAGTCAGAATTTCCATCACTCAGCAAAACTGGGTTGGGAAGCCAGGCCGGAGGTTACCACCTGACTTTGCCATGGTTCTTAAGCAAATTACATGACAGTTAAGTCAATTCGGCTTCCCTCATTAACTTGGTTTGTCGGAATCCAGCTGGGAAAGTTGCGAATGATGATTGAGACTAAAACATACAAAGAGACTAAAACATGTAAAGAACGGCTGCAGGACTTGGGTTTGGTTAGTCTAAAGAAAAGAAGAAATAGGGGAGATGTGATAGCAGTGTTCCAGTATTTGAGGGGCTGCCACCAAGAAGAGGGGGTCAGAGTATTCACCATAGCACCAGAGGACAGGACAAGAAACAATGATGGGAAACTGATCAAGGAGAGAAGCAACCTGGAATTAAGGAGAAACTTCCTAACAATGAGGACAATCAACCAGTGGAACAGCTTGCCACCAGAAATTGTGGGCGCCCCATCACTGGAGATTTTTAAGAAGAGACTGGACAATCACCTGTCTGAGATGGTGTAGGTTCACCTGCTTAAGCAGGGGGTTGGACTAGAAGACTTCCAAGGTCCCTTCCAACTCTATTCTATTCTATAGTCTAGTCTAGTCTAGTCTAATCTAGTCTAGTCTAGTCTAGTCTAATTCTAGTCATCTATTTCTATTCCATATTCTATTCTATTCCATATTCCTATTCCTATTCTATTCCATATTCCATATTCTAGTCTATTCTATTCCATATTTTATTCTATTCTATTCCATATTCTATTCTATTCTATTCTATTCTATTCTATTCCTATTCCTATTCCATATTCTATTCTATTCTATTCTGTTCTGTTCTGTTCTATTTCATATTCTATTCTATTCTATTCCATATTCTATTCTATTCCATATTCTATTCTATTCTATTCTATTCTATTCTATTCCTATTCCATATTCTAATCTAGTCTAGTCTATTTCTATTCCTTATTCTATTCCATTCCATCCCATCCCATCCCTTCCCATCCCATATAAACGTCTCTAAATCAAGCCTGTTCCCCTCCGCCTCCCCCGCCCCCCCCCCGCCCCTTCATCCACTGCAGCGTTGAACTATTTCCTTGCATGGTTTGCAAAAGGGAAGAGAAAAAGGAAGCCCAACCTGCCACCAACAGAATTCGGCTTCCTCGGAATTTGCTCTTAGGATTGCGAAACAAAAGGACTCTCTGCAAACTGTCCCCAGGTTCATTCTTCCCCCTGCCCAACCAGGAAAGGGTTGGAAAAAGTTGCCTCACCAGTTGAACCTTACGCCTATTTCAAGAGCTTTCTCTGTAGCCATTTCAAACCCTTCCTCCCATCCTTTATAGCAGTGGTTCTCAACCTTTTTAATGCCGCGACCCCCAACCGGTCGTAAGTCGAGGACTACTCAACCGGTCGTAAGTCGAGGACTACTCAACTGGTGCAGCACCGTTTGCAGACTGGGACTTTTGGCGGGCTCAGCAGGGCAGAGACAGCCTGGACAATTCCTATTGGCTTTTGAAAGCCAATAGAATTAGACTCTATTCAAGAGAGTCTATTCTATTGGCTTTTAAAAGCCAATAGAATAAAAGGGAGTAGCACAGCTAAGGAAAAGGGGGGGAAAAATGGCGGACTGCGTTGTTTGGTGACCCCCATGAAATGGTCATTCGACCCCAAATGGGGTCCCGACCCACAGGTTGAGAACCACTGCTTTATAGACTTACACCCGTTCGTTGAGCAACCTTTCAAAGTTACCATCGCACTGAAAAAAAAACAACTTATAACTGATCCTCAAACTTACGACCGTCACAACACCCCTGCAGTCACATGATCATCACTTGCGACTTTCCAAGCCTGCTTCCAACTGGTAAAGTCACTGGGGATGCTGTCACATTTTGCTTAGCGACTGTGGGTGATTCTCTTTTTTTAATCAATCTTTTTTTATTAATTTTTTTTCATCAACATATGTTAATTTTTCCAATCAACAAGTTGTCTGGAATTTGCTAAGCTAATACATGTTCAATTCCTAATCCGTCATTCTTTTCTCTAACCAAGAATAAAATAAATTCCAAATTTGATAGTAGTTCGTATCTTCTTTGTCTTTCAGCCTCATAGTTAGTCTGTCCATCTCTGCACATTCCAATATTTTCGTAATTATTTCTTCCACTGATGGCAATCCTTCGTCCTTCCAATATTGTGCAAAAATTATTCTCGCTGCTGTGGTAATATGTAAAGTTAAATATAATTTCTGCTTATTAGTCTTTTCAGACATAATGCCTAGTAAAAAAAAAGTTCAGGTTTAAAATCCACTTGTTCGCCCAATATTTTTTCTAACCACATATGTATGCTTTTCCAATAGGCCTTTGCTTTCTGACTGTGGGTGATTCTCTTAATGACCTCAATCACGGGTGCCAAAACTGCCATCGTTAAATGGAGCGGTGCTTCAGAACTGCTTCATTTTAGTTGGTGCTTCTGCAAACTCAATCAATGGGGGTTTGTTCTACAAACCACAATAACAAAGCCACAGTTTAGCCTAGCAAGCAGAGCCCACCCAAGAACAGCTGAGACATCCATCAAGCCGGACCCTTGAGTTACGGACTCTCCATCTTTGCAACTCCTACAAAGGGACTACCAGGATCATGCCTCCCTCCCCTTTAAACCTGGATGGGTCCAGCAGCTGGCTAAGGATGATGGAAGGCGAAGCCCAACCCAGGATGGAGAATGAGGGTTGGGGAAAGCATCAAATTTACAAACACGGTTTAAGTTTGTGTTTGGGAACCTTGGCAACCTGAGACCTTCAAAGTCGACCAACACTGGTTGAGGGTTCAAAAAGCACATTTAAGTATGCCCTGGCAGAACTAAAAGACGAATACAGTTAGTCCTCAACTTATGACAGTTTGTTCAAAGTTACAACGGCACCGAAAAAAAGTGACTTAGAACCATTTTTCACGCTTGCGACCGTTGCAGCCTCCCCGTGGGTCACATGATCAAATTTCAGATGTTCGGCAACTGACTCATATTTATGACGGTCGCAGTGTCCCAGGTTCACATCATCCCCTTTTGCGACCGTCTGACGAGCAAAGTGAATAGGGAAGCTGGATTCACTTAACAACTGGATTACTTACTTTACGACTGCAGTGATTCCAATAATAATAATAATAATAATAATAATATTGGAAGGGACCTTGGAGGTCATCTAGTCCAACCCCCTGCTCAGGCAGTAGACCCTATACCATTTCGGACAAATGGCTGTCCAGTCTCTTCTTAAAAACCTCCAGTGTTGGAGCATTCACCGCTTCTGGAGGCAGGTGGTTCCACTGGTTAATTGTTCTGACTGTCAGGAAGTTTCTCCTTAGTTCTAAGTTGCTTCTCTCCTTGATTAGTTTCCATCTGTTGCTCCTTGTCCTGCCTTCAGGCGCTTTGGAGAATAGCTTGACTCCCTCTTCTTTGGGGCAGCCCCTGAGATATTGGAACACTGCTATCATGTCCCCCCTCGTCCTTCTCTTCATTAAACTAGACATCCCCAATTCCATCAACCGTTCCTTATATGCTTTAGCCTCCAGTCCCCTGATCATCTTTGTTGCTCTTCTCTGTATTCTTTCTAGAGTACCGTGGCAAGGAAAGTCGTAAAAGGGGACAAAATGCACTTAACAAATGTCTTGCTTAGCAGTATAAATTTTGGGCTCAGTTGTGGTCATTTAAATTGTCCCTAATTTTGGGATACATATCCAACTCAACAATTCCAACACGGGTCTTCGCCATGCGCCAG